CCCCCCCCCCCCCCCCCCCCCCAAATAAAAACTATAATAATGAAATAAAGAAATTTATTTATTTATTTTGCAGGCTTCATCATTTTCCCTTAACTTGAACGTCATCGTGAGGAATTTCAAGCATGATTGAGCGGATTGACCCAAAGCTACAACTTCGCGAATATTAATTATGGCGAACCCGTTAAAAAAATCAACAGCTCTTCAGTGACAACATGGAGAAGAGGAATGCTTCACAGAGCCATTTTCCTCCAGTGCTCCAAGTAATAATAATAATAATAATAATATAGTATGAAGTAGGACAAGACCCAAGAATGATGTCTGGTGCATCATGAAAACGTCGCATCTCGTGTTTCCACTCATCAATCAACTCGGCGTGGGCAAGCACAACGGTTGACTTCGCTAGGTGATGCTATCTTTTTGGGGGACTAACCTGATTATTAACAGAACCATGAGCAAGAAATGCATGCATCGCGCAGAGAGATCTTCGCCGTTTTGGCAAAGAATGCCATGAAAATGTGTTAAATTGGCTTACATTGGAGCGCAGTACAGTCAAACGCATGAGGCATGGTGAATAAATGGAGAAAAAAAAAACATTCATAGGTCGAAGTATCAAAATGTATTGAACTGCTAGAGACCAAGGAGACAGAAACATTGCATCAATTCTGTCATCTGTTTCTTTCTTCGGCCGCACCCGTGGATTCATCCTCCTCTGGCCCAGGTATTATCTTCTTCCCTGCAGATCGGTAAGAATGAGAGAGAAGGAGAATCAGGGATTAACAAAGAATGATATGAAACAAAAAAAAACAAGACGGCATCAATGTCATCAGATGAAGAGCATATGGCCCAAAGACAACCCGACGAGGATGATCACATATTGTAGGAGGGGTGAAAAAAATTTCCTGGACTTATTCTATAATTTGATGGCTCTTATAAGTATCGTGTATTGAGTCTTGGTGATGCATGAGCAAAATGTTTTGCTTATTCGTTTTCATTTGATTGGACGCTCCAAGGAACACATTGCGATTGTGAAAAAGGAATTTCTTCAACCACCTTAACAATTTGGAGTACCATTAAATTTTGAGCGGAAGTCGGAATGTGTGTCGCTCCAGGAATGTTGAAGGCAATTGAGTGAAGCAAGCAATTAGTAGAAAACAAGACCTAGAACAGAGGTGATATGAGGTTAGGGCAATCAACTGAACAATGAAATCTGACAGAAACTGCCTGAACGCCAATCCAAGTTCTCATAGAGCTCAACAACAGCCGCTTCCTGAATTTTCTGTAGGATTTCTAGCAATTTAGCTCCTCTCCTTAATCCACTTTGATGGCTGATTCAACCTTGAGTAGCCCTTGAGGACCTGCCTTTTTTTAAATAAAAATTTTATTTATTTATTAGCCATTTGGGCCTGTCCAATTCTCTCCAATCTCATTCAGCAGCATCTGCTCTAAAAGCAGCAGCACACAACATACTTCAAGTTTCTTTCATCCATTTCAACAACTTCACAAAAAACTTCATGGTGCTCTAAACTTCAATTTACAGTTTCAGATTCCTTAATCATTTTTACCAGGTGCATCACAGGTTCCATTTTAAACAAGTTCTAAAAAGCTCAAATAGAAACCAGTAACCAAGAAATTCTGCCAATGTGCAAAGACCCAACACGAGATATTTACGAGAAGAGGTGTCCATACATCAAATAACAAAAAAGTTACAGAACCAGTTCAGGAATTATGATGTTGTAGGTACATAATCACTTGTCATTAACAGCCTCACCTAATCCATTTACATTATGATGAGCTAGTAGCACACTATTAAACTAAACATTTCTCTATCGTCATTCTTTTGATGCCTCACAGCTATAATGCATGATAATTTCCTCATGATGCTGTCCTACATACTCACCAAAAAGGTTGTTTATTTTCATTCTTTGTCCCATGTCAAGAGGTACAGAATTCTTGAGCTCATGGGCCATTGCTTCACTTTCGTCCAGGTAGCTGCAGTTGTAAGCATATCTGATGATGGCCTGAAAAAATCCAAACCTCTCTTAAAGATGTGTAACAAGTGACAGTGGCACAAGAAAGCATAAGAGAACAAACTTACCAGGCATCTAGAGATGTTCTGAGTTTCTAGAATTGCAGAGAAGGCCACCTTCAATGTGTCTGGAGAAGGCAATCCTGGAATGTTGATTTCATCGTCTTGCAGTTTCTTCATGCATTCCCATGCAAGGTCTGGCTTTCCGCATGCCACACTCACCTCAATCACATTCCCAACCATTGTCCCTGTCCATCTACATTACAAGAAACACAATCAATCACGAACTGAATACTTTCTTGAATGAAGGCAAATAGGCAAATGAAACTCACTGGATGGATGAGTAAAGCTTCTCTTTGATAATTTTCTCAACACGTTCCCACAGATCACTGATTATAATAGCAAACTTCTCCCTGACCCATTGTGCTTCCTTGCTTTCATCAGAGGTAGAAGGTTTGTTGTTATATAAAACAGATAACAAGGCTTCCATCAATTTTTGCTGAGTAATATGATCAAAGACCACCATATCTGACCATAGCTGTGGCAAATACTTGGCAGAGCCTGTCATATCAATCATTGACAACAGCTCCTGAAAAAATTGAGAGCAAAAGAAATAAGTTAGAAGGTAAGAACTACAGATTTCCAATAAAAACAATAAAATTTCTTGCCAGGAGAACAGATGGTTCAGGTGTGTAGATCTGTGGCACAAATTTATAGTATGTTTTCTCAAAGAATTCATCCACTGGTTCATTGCGGCACATGAGGGTGAAATAGTTTCGGCTGTGAAAGAGAGGAGAAATTTTGTTTCAACCACTCAGACACAGAATCGATCAGACAGTAGATTTTGATGCAGAGACCAGCACTCACTAGTAAATAGATTCCTTATAGGAGTCCCCCACAAAGTCATAATTATTTCCATCCAAGAGAAATTCATGAATCTCCTTCCCTAATGCAACATCACCAAGATAATTGCATGCCACATCCATGGCAGTCACAAAGAAGTAAGTGTCTTTGGGATGCTGAATAGTCAAGGTTTTGCCTCTCAAGTTCTTGAGAATGTCTCTCAAGATGCCATTCTTGGGATATCCTAGGAATGAAAAGCAAAAATAGAAAAACTCCATGGATGGAGCAACAAAACTCATCCATGAGGGACTCACTATCTCGACAAAAGATGAGGAGGAGGAAATAGAAGGAGGCAAGGCTTGGTTCACAGCCTATATGCTTAAACTCAGAGAGGGTAGCAAGAGCTTTCTCTTTGGCAAGTGGCCATGAGCCTATAGTGCTCAAGCACTCCAAAATCCCATTCAAGGTATCTGCGTTTGGTTGGAGGCCCCTTCGCTTCATATCATGCAGAAGATCCTATGAGAAAAACCACAAAGAGCAAACATGAAACAGTCACAATAATGAAGCACCTAGTACAAAAAGGAAAAATGTTTAGGAGATTTTCAAGAGCACTTTTGGCTCCTGAAAAACTTTAAGGTAAAATCCTCAATATGATGGCAAGGGAGAAAACTTTTTCTGTTGAACAAGAGAAAATGCTCACCCAAATAAAAAACATGGAATTCTTCAATGAGTTCATAGAGTAATACTTCAAAAATAAGCTCAGCATTTTCCCCTGTGGTCAACGATCATAGTTTTTGGCTACCGTTCATCAGCTTTTTTTTTATTGCCTCTACTCATTCCCTCCTAAACTCACAAAACCACTGAGCAACACTGCAGTAAGTAATGGTATCCCTTCCAAAGTAATCAAGCAGCTCTTCATGAACCTCTGCAGCATTCTTTCCTTGCTACACAATGTACTTCATGATTTTTCAGGGCCAACTTTCAATATAAAAACCAAAATTCTCAATTATAATTTTCATTACCATAAAGAACAGTTAAATTTTGTGGAACAGCAGAATGGCAATGCAAAATTACTCCAGAATGCAAACTCAATCAGACACAATTATTTTGGAACAATCTCCCTAAAAAAGTTATCCTGGTTTTAGAGTGCACCTATATCTTAGAAACAGAAACACAAAAAGAAAGCAAGAAGTGCAGAAATGCCTTTTAAAATGTAAACCATTGCTCCAATCTTGCAACAGCATCGAGATTAAACAGCTTCCAAAATCATGACTCTCACCATTAGGACTTCCCAGGTCAGCTCTTCACTGTCCTTTAAGGAACGGGTGATGAGAATGAGGCTGTTGAAAGTTCCGACATCAATTTCAACCTCCTTCCCAGCAGCTTCTTGATACATATTCCAAGCTCGTTCTGCCTACAAGTGCAGGTGGTAAGATTCAAGGCTGGAGTAATATAACATTGCATCGCTGACCATGAGGCAACCATACAAATAGTATTGCTGATTCTGACCTGATAGTATTTAGCCATGCCTCTCATCAAAGTGCAGTATGCTTTTGATGACTTTTCCTTCATTGATGCAAACACATCCTCAGCCAGACCACCATCCCTGATGAAAGAAAAGAAAATCTTCTAATTACTCATTCCTAACTGGTAGCTTATTGCTTTTCATGCATTGTATGATGATTCAATTATCTTCTTTCTGACAGGTGATTGGGAGTACACCAACTGTCACAATTCACAATGAGCAGATAGAAAACCAAGCAGGCAACATTTAACTCTCCCAGTTTGATATGGCAAAAGAGCTAAAAGTGAGTTATGATGTATTAGGTTGATATCCTGGTGCTTCCCTGAAAATTGGGGAACCATTCTGGTATTTATCAAATAAATGTAAGACATATGGGAACTTCTCCCTTTCATTAAATTACCATTTCACCAAAGAGATATTTGAAAAAAATATCATCAATGAAAAAAAACAGGCAGCAAAGTATGTGACAGCAACAAAAAAAACAACAAAACAGGTCAAAAAGTCCCCAGTGGGTGCAAGAAAAATACAAGTTGTCAAAAGTAAGATATCATCTTGGACAAGACCATGATAGACCTTGCATTAAACTAAAGCTCTAAAGCTATAACTTAGATCTTGAACCTTAACTTTGAAAGTTATTAAGGCTGGAAGATCTTGAACAGCATGTGTCCCCGCACAGGGCACAAATTCACCAGAGGCGCCAAAACATGTCAGAATGAATGAAGCTATAATGGATGCCACCCTAAATTTTACTACAGAGACCGGGAATGCCTTCCGTTTCGGCGTCTTTTTGGACAGTAGGGATTGACTGTTTTCCCTTTGGGGGGAAGGGGGGGGGGGGCTACGTTGGGAGTCTCTTTGGCACAGGGCGCCGAAATAGCTAAGGCCGATCCTGCCTCCAAAAATAAGTCAGAATTATCACTTTCCTAACCCACACGGACAGCTACGAACCAGCAGAAGCAGAGCCGCAGGACGAAATCAATGACATTAATTTCGTTCGATCTAACATTAATAAAGCGACGAAATGGAGATCTATGATCCACCGATACGCCAAAGTCATAACGGAAGGAGACACCCGTCGCTTGCCGACCTGGCCTGCAAACACCTGCGAATTCACGGAACTTTCGTCCTGTGTGAGCGACTCTTTCCGAGATACGGATATTTCGCAAACGAACATTGTGCATGCTTTGCGACAGAGATCGTTGATATGTTCTCTCCCCTACCTTTGAACAACGAACTACCATGATGTCATGCATTCAAGATCATGTCAGAAACAAAATAAGGTTTTGTCCCGAAATAAATGCACCATTAATACCAACCCCCCCCCGATTGAACCCTGGCGATATCGATACTTTAAAAATCCATATTGCCCAGCCCTACTGTATACACTACACTACTCAAGTGAGAGGTCATGGTAGTTAGACCATTAGCTATATTTTTATACCTAAGTGTCACAGTCCAGATGTTTGGCGGACTGCATGAATATAACTTTAAAATGGAACTGGCTCTTTGGTTTTAGTGCTGGAGGATAAATGACCAGTTATGAGCCCTATAAACATTTCTTAATTTACTGAATAAAAAAAAGGTGGTCAATAACTAAATTAAAAGGTAGACAATTGACTGCCCCATCCCTACACACAGGTAACATTTTGCAGCCACGATGTATTCAGTTTGTCATCCAAGTCAATGGAAGCCCAATGCTGAATTGACAGGAGGCAATCATAAAGTAAGCTATGTTCATGGATAGACCTTGACTTTTGGCAAGACTACACTTTCAGCTCTTCTATGCTTGTTTCTCTGACTCATTCCCCTATAGCCAGAGCTGATGAAAGATGGAAATCCCATCAATTTTGTTGCTCATTCTAGTATTGCTATGGATATATGACTCACAAGGGAGTAGTACAAGGAAATGGAGTAGATAATTAATGAAGAATAATACTGAGTAGGAAACCTACCTCCAACTCTTTATCCTCACTTCTTTCTTCTGCTGTACAGCAGTGAACCATCGTTCCTCCATATCTTCTTCATGAGGCATTTCCACCTCATTGTAGTAACAAATGAGCTCCAAGAAGCTCTGCTTCAGACTTTCTGGCAATTCTACAAGATGGAAGACAAGACCATGGGCATGTATTGAAAATTTCAGAAACTTGATTGTTGTTAAAGAAATGTTACACAATTTTGCAGGAAGCACTGAAAAAAGTAAATCCTTACCTGCTCCCTTTTTTGATAAGGACTCATACACAAACTTTGCATCACCAAGATCTCCTTGAGTGACCAGTTCAGTCAGCAGCTGCACATTCATCTCTGAATTCTCATCATAGGTTACCCTTGGATGAAAAGCCTGATGGGAACCACCAAATTATTTACTTGCATGTGATGATCTCAGCATAAGAAGTGAATCAACAAGAAAGTACATGAAGCCTGAAGTCATTCACCTCAATGTCAGGCTGGGCTTCTTTATGCTGAAAGAACTCCTGATGGTGGTCCCTTATCCAACGAGCTGCTTTGCGGCCTGATTCTTTTGCCAAAGCAAAAGTTCGTTTGCTGATGTTAGATGCAGGAATCAGGTAGGGATCATCATGATACTTGAAATGTGCTGCTGTATAATCCTTCCCAATTGTTCCTGCCAAGACCTATGGTCAGAAGATGTCACTTCAACCATCAAGGAACTGATAAATACTAGGGCTTTAGAAACATATAGAACTGGTGGGTACACACTTTCAAGAGATCTGTAGGTCCACGTTTGATGCGAGATGGGATTTTTATTTTGTCATGCACCACCTCAGAGTAATTTGGATGAGACTCCACACTGGAACATCTTATAATTGGGACTTTGAGGCAGCCCTTTCTCAGCCGACAATAAGTCCTACATAATGAAAAGGCAGAATTCAGTATTTTCAAAAATGACAAGAAATAACAAATACCAAATAAACTCACCGCAACATGGTATGCACTTTTACCAGCTAAATGGTAGATTCTTATCCACATCTGATTACTTTCAGTAACCTGCATGAAAAGAATGCACAAATACTGGCAATCAAGACTTATTTTCATGGCTAGTAGGCCAAATGGTATTTATTGATCAAGATAAAACTTTTACTTTGCGACTTAACTATGTGAAAGCCTAACATATGTATATATATTCAGCACCTTCTGCCTAGCCTTATACCCCCTGCCACTATTTCTCTATTCAATCCTATCCATTCCTCTGAGTGTCTCCATTTTCCCATTCCCTCAAATCCTTCATTACTTTCCTTTAAAAATTACACATTTTGCCAAATGAAGAGGGAGTCAGCATGTCATTTAGTTGTCCCACTTTGTATATGTCATGAACTTATGTCCCCTGATTTAATTTCTTCTCTGACCCCAATGTGATTTCTGCCTACATTTTTCACAGGCTGATCTATTTGAGTTATAAGCCAGTGTTGAGGACATTATGAAATCCTCCAATTATTGGGTCCCAATTGCTGATATTTTCTATTAAAAATAAACAAGTATGACAAGCTGATTACACTGTTTCTGGTTCGAATTCATACCCCCCTATCGATTGCAAATAGAGGTTACAAGTCTATTACCTAATGCAGTAGATCCTCTGGTAATGTGTTTTCTCCATTCTCTACTATAGGGGGTGGTACAAATTCAATTCAGAAAGTGTACATATCCATTATAAAGTTGACTAAACAGATCACATCTAGCCTATTGCAACACAAAGAGCAGAAATGACCTTCAATATGATGAATGACCAGTGATCTAATGGCAACTCTGGAAGGAAATGAAACTTGAAGCATAGTTGAACTGATGAGAAATTAGAATAATTATTTTTTTTTTACATGGGCTATAAGGATGATTTCCCATCAAAAACATGACCTTCCACAATTCTTAAGATCTATCTGTTCTTTAATCAGAACAGATTGGCCTGCCATGAAGTCAAAGGATTCACAAGGCAAAGGTCACGTGAATGAAAAGCATGTTCATATGGTGTTCAAAAGACAAATACCTATCCACTTAGGCTTTGCATAAGTGTAAGGAGTAGATGGAAGAGCAAATAGCATCCAGAAGCTATAAATACGAGAACACCCAGGAATAACATAGGTATGCTTCTCATAGTAGCAACCATGGGTCACCTGAACTAATTACTTTCAGCTGAAGGACAATATATTGTAATGAATCATGAGGAAGCAATTGATTTGAAATCAAAATTTATTCAGTGAATGCAAAAACATAATGTTCTTTCTCCATTTACAAGATCAAAGAAATTATGGGATCTGAATGATCCCATAATTCTGGAAGCAAAATTCTCATAATGCTTTTCTGACTGATCTTGTTCATAAGGCATCAGCATATTTCTGAAACTCTTTGAGGTGAGAAACATTGGCAATGGGCATATATTCAAGGATCACATGACAACCATTCATGAGTTTTGGTGATTCACCCACTGTTGTACTCATGTCAACAGAAGATCCATCCTCTCCAGAAAACAGACAGAGCTTAGGTCCATCACTCAAATTATTTGTGTTACGTAATTTTAAGCATTCAGAAATATAGTCTATACATTTCCCTACGGGCCAATGCTTTGAAAAGAAGAAAGGCTTGGATTCCTTAGTCTGCAGAAAATTTGGCAGTAGGATTCGCATGTAGACTCGGTCATCTTGGGGTACATCCTTGGGGCCTTCAGCTTGCTGCTTCAGTTTCATGAGAGCAACCTTCATTGCAATTGACTTGGATTTATGCCCTCTTGCTTGGGTGCTCTGGGATTTCTGTTGCTGAATAATGCCCTCTATTAAAGCTTTTGTCTTTGGCATATGCTCCTTTGGAGGGTCCAAGAGGGGGCACTGATGGGCTTCCAGATTTCTGTGTGTTATACAATACCTTGTGGTGCATCTGCCACATTCAACAACATAGGACTTTTCAGTGCAACCTGGATGTCCACATCCAAATAGAGACTTCACTCCACTGTTCCCCTCCTCAGTAGGCCCACCCTAGAAATGGAAGCATCATGCATTTAGCCTAGAACTATGAGAAATTGAAGAGGTAAGTTCCAGTTTCATGAAAACTATAAGCTAGGACAAGGCTATATGTAGTCCTAGGCCTACTCAAATCTTGAGGAACACTACCCAAAAGTGCCAAAGCCTAGGACTCACTCCAATGATTGTGGTGCTCCCACAATGGATATCTTGATGAGTCATAAAATGATCCTTGCAGAATGCTCTATGGCACGAATCACATTTCAAAGGCAGAAAATCCAACCTCTTGCAATCTTCATTAGCACAGTGTGATCCCAGATCAGGAAATTCTGCCATTCCAGTGTCTGGACAGGGGGCAGATCAACTTTTAATACTGCACAAACTCTCGTACAGCTGGCTTCAGGCTTGGTGGCAGAAGATTACAACCTATTCATTGATCATACAGGTAGTTAAAATTACAAGTTCTTTAGAATGGTAAATCCTGCCTCATACTTTCCTATTGAGATGTCACAGTCAGCATAAAGGAATTAAAAATGCACCAGGCTACAAGCATGTTTTTCCAGATCACTGATCTTTCAGTTGAGCTACCATAGTCCTGACTTCCAACCCTTGCAAGGCACACTACCTGGTCACTTTGGGGCCCCACTCCTCTCCAAGGGATACTTTTAGTTTTCATAAATTCTAAGAACAAGTTTCCTAACTGAACAAAACTCAGTTGAGGGGACTAGCTATATCTTCTACCAATTTAATATGGATTGTCATGATCAAACCTGAAGCAAGAAGCATTGAGTTCAAGTAACAAGCCATCAGCATAGTTCTATAATGTCTTACTGACTATTGAAGAGGAATCTACAGGCCTACAGAGTGGACTGTAAGTCAAGTAGCTGCTCAAAGGCATTTATTTCAGTATGTATGACTAACATTGACCATGAATCTTGATAAAGGAGTTAAATACACAATGGGGAGAAGGGTTATGGGTTCATCACCATGTACAGTGTATAAGGGTTGCCACATGCTGAATGGTAGCAGTGATAAAAGTATTCTGCAGGGCATTCAATTGCTTGTAAGAATTGAGCTGTCAGAGAACAGGCAGAGCTGAAGGACTTATGCCATGAGGTTGTTGCTAGTACATCTCCAATGCTGCAGTCAGCCAACAGTCATCTGCTCCCTTAGTGGACACTGTCATTGAGGAAAATAGCGGACGCTCAAAGATTTATTGCACTAGCATCTTCAACTGGTGTGTGACATCCCCTATGGGTTATAATGATAGACCCATATTCCATCTCTCATGAACTACTCTGCAAAGAGTCAAGGCCACATGACTCATAGATACTGAAATAAACCTCTCTGAGTAGCTAATCCAACTTAGAAGGCATGCACTTTCATCTAAAAGGGATGAAGACCCCAAATTCCACATCTAGTACAAATAGTTCGGTCCCAAAGTCAGGTTCAGGTTAGCTTGGCCCATAGAGCTGAACACCATTTAGGAAAACACCATTTCTTGGGTTGACATGCCGACTTGACAATGGCTTGATAACACTAACGAGTTACAGAGATTTTAGGATGACTTCATGCACTCCTAGATAGGCACTGTCAATACTAACATTTCAACAAGTGACATTTTGATTTTGCATAAAGAAACGCCATCATCAACATTGTGTTCTTAGTCTGGTTTGGCTTGTTGCCAATCATCACCAGTCATGCATACACCTATCATCCATTATGCATGGGAGAAAACAGTCCTGCTGACATTAGAAGACTTAAGGAAAGCAATGTCTTCCATGGCAGAGAATAAACACATTCTGAAATCATTGTAAGATCTTTTGAACCTTATTTTAGAAGTTGAACCCCTTACAGAATCCCAGCTGGGATTTTAAACTGGAAAGGCACTGCCAAATTCCACAAGCACAGTGCTGGTGACTTTCTGCTGGCAATGTCTAGAATTTGACTTAGTCAAAGATATAAGATTCCTGGAAGAAGTATTGTATTTACCAAAATATAAGATAACTTTGAATATAAAGCAAGTATGAATTGTGAAGGCCTTAATTTCTACAAAAAAGAATCACTTTATATTCAGCTTCTCTCTGAGGTCACATTTGGGACTATTTACTCAATAATTTTCCTGCCCTTGCAGCTGCATTTTTCTTGAAAAATCATCAGCTTTGTCACAGCAATGCAAAATTTCTGATGGTCTGCCTATAAAATTTCAGTTGAGCTCCTGTATGCATCTAATGCAGATCAAAGAGAGGAAACTTCGAAGTTTTTGATATTTTGAAGAGTGAGGAATTTTCAGTAATTCTCTTCGATATATTTTTTTATTATAGATCTTTTTAATACTTTACTCAGTATTTCAGTACTTTCTATACTATCGTATAGAAAGTATAAGGTGGCCCAGAAAAAACAATACTGAAACGTTAAGAATGTAATATGGTAAATTATTTTAATGTTTGCATTTATAGTAATTACAGACATGAATGCCCTGGTCCATAACTCCAGAAGTAGTGTTCTAACAACCAGATTCTTTCCTCTAATGTGTACTGAGGCATCTTATTCACTGGGTATCTGTGACATGAAAACAAATTACTATATTACATCCCTAACATTTCTGTTTTTTTTTCTGGGCCACACTGTAGTATAGAAATGTCAAGAAATATATGACAGAAAAAAAAGGATGAGTGCTAGCAGAAACAATGAAGTTGCATTATTTTATATTTTTTCACTTGTTAAAATTAAAATTTCATGAAATTTGTTCAAAAGCATATATGGTAAAGCACCTAATGATGGGCTGTTAAGGGCATGTACTCAGTGATGGGCCACAGAGCAGGAAAATTCCAAAAACTAGGCATTTGTAGCATGAACACCTCTGAAGTGTGTATGTGCTTGCATGCTGCTAGCATATTTTACAACAGGGGTAGGTGTGCTATGGAAGCTTAGCAGTTGGAATTTTTATGTGCTATGGCCCATCACTGGGTATTTTACCCTACATGCTTTCTAAACTAAATCTACAAAACTAAATGGAATATTCTTCCCATGCCTAAAAAATATTTTGAGCATAAAAGGTTCAATACAGTAGTCCTTCACATAAGGACTACTGGTATTTAATACCATCACATAAGATGGTATTAAAAAACCCCATTCTTTTCTTTACTTGGTTCCATCAGATAATGAATTACATGTAGTGCTACAACATAGTTGTACATGCATCTCAGAAAATCAAGAAATATTTATTTGGACAAGAACTGTAAATTGGAGACACTCCAGAAGACATCTGAATGGGATTCTTGGAAATCATACCAACCCACCAGTCCACAAATTACAGTTTACCTAGAGGTGTTCCACTACTCCCACCTAAGATATGCAAGTCTTGAAATTAAAAGGATATGTACCAGGCTCAAAACCATGGTTACAAAACTATAGGATGATGCAAAAGATCATTATGTAAATTTTTCACAATCCTGGATTTACCATTACCTTGGACTTACATGCTCTGTATTTATACAAGGGCCAGAGCATTGCAACTAACCCCAGAAGTTTGAGCTTAAATTTAGAATCTGCTACCACTTCTTTGACTGTTGACTCTCAAAACATACTTCTCCTGAAGAATGATTCAGTAAGGCTTTGGTACTTTAATCAGGTGAGAGTTCTTTATCTTTCAGAATATTTATTTATTTATTTATTTTACTTCGCCTATGATATGACATTAACTTGGCAATTTGAGTCGTCTTTCACAGCGATATTAGACCATTCGGTGTCATCGTAAATATGGTCAATGTTAACTCAATGGGCTGCATCTTTCCATTTGTTACAGAATTATCATGCTTATCAATCACTAACATAATTCGAAAGATGATATGAAAGGAAAGTAAAATCGTTCTAGGGGCGTCACTCAGTCCTTCACATGGTTTCTTCGAGGACACCTCAAATACCATTTCGGTTCCAGATGAAGAAGCAACTGGATATAAACGCCGGCACCATCCACCACTCCACGTGGGCTCCAAGGATGCCGCCATGAATCAGACCCCTGGAGCCAACCCTGCTCCAAGCGCATTCTTATTGCCTCAACCAGCTGTGCAATGGAATACTTCAGGTGCGTTCTGCCTGAACCAGAGTAGTTGGTGTAGGCACTGACTCATTCTTTTTGAGTGATGTAGCTGAACCAGTACACTTGGCTCCGTTCCTGGAAAGTCCTCATCTGCAGAGATTCAATATTTAATTGTTGATTGTGTTGGCAAAAAAAAAAAACCAAAGGTGTTTTTCTTTAATTATTAATAATAGCATGGGCGGTATGGGGAGTCCTCCCGCAGGTAGAGATATCTATAGGCGATGCAAGGAGCATCTGTACCACCTACGCATTGAGGGATTGAACAGCAGTAGTGTAACAATGGCGGCGTGGAATCACGGGCTCACGTGACCGTCGATAAAAATTTTAATCTCGGTCATCGTAGAGTAGGGCTGCCTACAGCCAAAAAATAAAGCCTCTTGGTAGACCTGAGTGACTATGACTATCGTGCAGGCTCGTGGACTTGGGTTTGTTGTTAAATCTGTTGCTGTTCATAGCTTAAAGTTTGGTGTCACGTCGCCCTTGGACTTGGGAAGCAGCTCTTGAGTGGAGCTGTATGCTATAACTCCCATGTATTGCATTTACCTTTAAATTTTGGTCGACGGCTCAATTTTTTTTTAAATTCCTAAAGTTATTGCAAATTTTTCGAACGAACGTTATGGAAATAGGGCTATGTCCATATTTGCTCCAGTTTGTTTTCTTTGTCTTCTTGCATTTTTGAGTATAGCTTAATGCCTGATTACACTGGAGTTGGGGCTAAATCTAATTGGGCTGGAATCTTTCAAATTCTACAGACTAGGGAAAACAAAAGTTTGTTACTTGACAGAGTTAAAGGACATGTGGGATTGTTATACAAGTTTTTACCAATTGAAACATCATTGGCTTCCTTTGCAGGATATACCTATTTAACATGTCGTGTAACTTTGTGATATCCTTGTGCCACTTTTGTGAAGTGCATGGACCAAGCATATTAAGCTTCTCACAGTGTGCTATGGATCCTGAAAAGTGCTTCCTTGAAAAGAACACCGATAATGACAATTCCAAGTTTTGTGATGATGAGGAGCATTGTGATGCATGTTTTTCCATCCCTCTGCATAAGCCTGGATTTTATTCTTTTGATCAAGAACATCAGCAGGCATACATTACTACGAGGCTTCCCTTGTCCATGAGAGTCGGAAAGATCCTCAAGCAAGCTTGTGTGAGGAGCTTGAGTTGTGAAGTCCCAGGGAAAGTGAAAGAGAGTGCTATTTATTTTGGTGATGATTCCCGAGGGCATGTTTTCAGTCAGACGTTTTTTCTAAAAGACAGTCGAGCCAGAGGGTTTCAACGTATGTTCAGCATACTCATTGTCAGTTTAGATAAAGTATTGCTGCTCACTTCTTGGCCATTCCTGCATAGCCAGACATCTAGTGTGATCAAAGAGTTGCAGTCCAAGGCAGTTATGAAATATGATGCAGAGCAACGTAATTGCCCTCAGAGGGCCCTGAGGTTATCAGGAACAACTTCTGGGACTTTTGCAGAAGGTAGGAAGTACCAAAAACCAACAAGATCTCTGTTGGAGTTGACAGAAGATCCTGATATCTTCACATCCTTACATAGCCATTTCACATGGATTCTGAGAGTCTTAGGACTGCACTTCAAGAGCACTTGGGTCCCAGAAGGAGCCCTCCAAAACAAAGTTTCACAAACATCATTCCTTCCCAATTCAAGAGAATTGCTCAATGTTTTGGGAGAGGAGAATCTTACTGAAGTTGTTGCAAGGCTTTCAATTGGGAGACATGTGATCGTTGTGGCAGAGGATAAAGAAAGTTCACAGGATTTGAGGCATCATCTCCAATGTTTGATTCCATTTGGTAAATGCAAGGAAATTTCCTTGAAAGAATGTCTTCCCCCTTCTGACTATCCCATTGTTGTGTCATTGAAACCAGATGAGGAAATCCCTGTGGTATTGGAGGGTTCCATTTTATTGCGTATCTTGAAGAACGTTTCCCACACAACTCATGAACAATGCCAAGCAAATCAGTGCTCCATTATAGTTGAAGTGCCTCGAGAAAAAACTCCTACAAATAGCTATGTGACACATTTGCTGCAAATTTTGAAAAATGAAGATTTCCCAGCAGCAGCTCTTAATAGCTTTGTACAGTCTCTGATACAAGAGTACATGAATAAGGCAAAAATTGCTCAACTCTTGGTATGCCAAGAAAAATCTTGGAAGGAGGCTTTAAGTGTTGTGGGCTTGAATGAGAAAGACATTCCAATGCTCCAAGTCTGGTCAAGCTAGTTGCATTATTGACCTAATTATTCTCTGATATTTGGTGTGGAATTTTACAATCTGGTTCTATAGAGCTACTTGCTTTTCTACTTATTTCTTTTTCTCCAAAATGCTGAATTCTGTACCAGTTCTGAGAGTTTAAGTTTTAAGTTATTTTAGACCCATATCAAGTACTGGTACAATATGTGTCACTTTTCATGTTCAGATCTTTATTTTCTTAGGAAGTGGCATGGCAGCCTTTTGATCGCATCTGTCAGTTCCTTTCTGACCAGCTTTCTACAGACCTACCTTTGATTTGGCTGCAGTGTTTGTGCAATCTATGTTATAGCCTTCTTACTAAATCTAATCTGAATTTGAATATGTGTTTTTTGTTATCCTATCAATTTTTCATCTTTAAGTCTAACCCATTTTGACTAACTTTTCATTTCAGTGTCTTGCAATATTATGAAGCCTATTGTTTTCAGTGAAATATTTTTGTTTGCCACTCATTAGGTCTGTAGTTACCTGGGGAAGGTACTGTAATACTGGGGGGCATAGACAGAACCCTGTAGCCTTATGGGTGGTAAGCCATTCCTAGTAATTTTTTCTAGGCCTACATGATTTAAAAAAAAAAGGATTTAGATTTTTATTAATTTTTATGATTTTTTAATGCTTGTTCATGGTTGTCTGGCCCATAGTTAAAGCATATTTTAATCACTCTGTTTGTAGTAGAGTGGTAATGCTCACAGCTGCTACATCTGTGGCTTTCTTATCAATTTTCTTATTTCCAATTTTGTTGGTGTGACATTTATGCCATTTTCCCATGGTTTTTCAACTAATACTGTAATAAGTACTGGCTTATCATCAAACCTGAATGGGGGACTATGTTCTCCAGTGATTATCTGTATTATCACAATTCATTTGGAATAAATTTCAAATGAAAAACCTTTTTGTGTGGAGTCTGTTCTCTTAGTTACATGGCTGAGTCTCTACAGTGATTTTCTGCTTGATTGCATCCATCTAGTGATAAAATAAGGAATGACTTAATTCTAACTTCAGTCACTTTGCCAGGGGCAGTTATTTTGAAACAGTAGATGTCACTCATATGATGACATGATGCCATTCAGAAGGAGTTAGGGGCACTACAATCAATTGAAAATCACTGTATTGTATTTAAGAGCTACGAACATCCATTGCACAATGTTTCAATTTTCCCAATATGACTATTATGATTCAAAAATCATCAGAGGCTTTTTACCATGGCTTCTCTCATGAGAAAGCTAATGGTCTCAAGGACTTTAACATTTGAACCTATTTCCAAGAAAAGTTGTTGGGTCTATCAGTACTAGGACATGAGTACTTGAGACCTTTGGAGTGGAATGGTTCTGTTTGTCATTGCACTCTCATTAGAAAAAGAAATTGGTTCCTTAGTATTGCTTTAGGGTGAGCTGACATATCAATGCTAGAAAAAGAAAAAGATGATCCCCAACCACATAATTTCAGATCTTTAGAAGTACTTGATTTTTACAAATTAAACTTTTTACATTTTGAGATTTTGAATAATTTAGGTAGGATGTGTGCCAATATTGGAGTTAACACAATTAAATGAACTTGAGTTTCAAGGGTGGGAAGTTGTATGGGGAAAGTTAACTAAGCACTGTGATTCTTTCTTTGTGGAGGGCTAATAAAGTAGGGGCCACTTAATGAGTTCTTGAATGTCCATAAAAGTATTAATGCCACATACCCATAGCCATAGTTCTTGCTTCTATGAAAACTGGTTGAAATAAGTCAGGAGAATATGGAGATGGAGATGCACATGCTGTCACTGTAATCAAATAAAGATGAGGCATCTTGAATACCGTCAAATTTCTTTTTTTTTATTGGCATTATAAGAGGCTTTGTGAACTCCACAAATCAAATAGTTTAGAAACTGTCTATTTGCCAAAAAAAGAACCAATCTGCTTGAGCTAGGCTGTGTTGACACACTGCCAAGTGCACATGGCAAGTGTTTGCAAGAGGGTATGTACATGGGATTATTAGTGCTGCTAGCAGATTTTCTGACTGGACATCTTTATCTACAAGTTCACTAATTTTGACCCATTTTCACTGATAGAAGGAAAATATACACCAGTGTGTCAAAAAATGTTCATAGACATCCATGGGCTTATTTGAAATATACAGGAATTTCAAAGGTAGCCCTTAATTTATTGCCCCCCAGTGCATAAGGGATTGTTCTTTATTATCCATGGGAGAGTAAGTCAGATATATATTTGGATCTTCAGCATCTTACCCACTATTATTTCTGGTCTCCTTTCAGCTGATGTAGCAGACAGCTCTCATAGCAATGGCATCATAGCTTATCTTACCCCATGACAAAATTTACCATTGAAATATCTGTTCTAGTCTCTCTAAATTGAGAATAGATAGTGTAACCTTTGACATCAAATGTGAGCTATACTTTTCCTATTAAGGCAACACTTGTCCACATATACTATATTGCCAAAAGCATTGAGATGAGCCTCCCTCTGCAATAACAGATTGTTCCTGAGGGCATTATTGTAGTCCAAAAGTATATAATGGTTGTCTACAATCTGTTACAGTCAGTGTTTGCCAGTATGGCATGTGGATTGGAGCTGACGGAGCTCGCTTGTCATATTGTCCTTTGCCCCACAACTTTTGGCAATGTAGTTTATGAACTTGTGAAGAGTTTTCATTGCTATAAATAGTTAATACAACACATTTCCAAGAAAGCTCCTCCTGGCCATATGATGGTATCCTCCAAAAATCTAGGCTCAGGGCAGTGTCATTCTTGAAATGTTCACATGCCACTTCACAAATCCTGTGAGTACACTTCTTGTAGAACAGGATTAAAAGGTCATAGTACATCCCCTATACTCATACAATCTGACCCTTTGTGACTTAGATCCAATTTCCACAGCTATGAGAACCTCTTTGAGGTAATTGGTTCCAGGCACTCAAAGACCTTGGTGTAACTGTGTACATGGTAGTAACAGACATTGATTGAGCTAAAAGTTCTAAGGGCATAATATTCTTGCCACACCATAGCAAATGTCTTGGGGAGACTGCTTTAACCTCCCAAGTGTGTGTGGCAGCATATGCCACTCGGAACATGTGCAGGTTTTTAGAAAATTTACACTTGGAGGGTTAGAGGATGCTTATTGACAAGTATCCCTGTACTTTGTAATTTTTTGTCCAGATGGGTCTAAACTCCAAAGAGGTGAACCATCATGATTACCATTCATAGGAAAGAGATCTTCCTTCCTGAACAGGATCATATAATTTACAGCTCTGAGGATTTAAGATGAGGACAGATATTTAGACAAATTCATTGCAAGGGAGTCCATATGGTATGCCTGACCACATGGCCATTTTGATATTACCAGTGGTCAGTTGTGAAAGAGTCCATATAACCCTCCAGACTAAGAGGAAGACACTGGTCATTGCCCTCCTCTGACAAATGTTATGCCCTCCACCACCAACAAGATAATATCTTTGGAAGTAATGTAAATGATGCAATAAAAGTTATTTGCAATACTTCTGAAATTACACTTGTATGTATCACATATGCTACTATGTAGACTTGCATGGCTTCATATATGATCAAGACATGGCATGGCATATATTGGCATATACCGTATACGGTGCAACTATTTGAGTCAAGACTTGAAATATTTATGAGTCATATATTTCCATCCATAATGGTTATAAATTTGTATATAACTTGTGTCAAACTCTATACATATTTTTAATGTTTTCATGTCTGTATTGCCATATCTGTTCAAACGTGATAATGTTCATTGAACTAGTTATGTGCATGGTTTTTCATGCATCTGACATTTTCATATGAGGAATTACTCAACAGATTTATCACCAAGGTAGTAGTTCCCTGCAATACTGGTAGGTATTCCCAAGGTATGACATGACAAGGTTCATGGCAGAAATCAAGAGTATTGAAAAAGCATTGGCAAGTGTTGAGGCCAGAATTAAAGCAGCTTGCCTCAGGAGATCATCTGTGAGTGATGCTTAGTCATGAAATTTATTAGCATTCATGCACATCAGATCTCACCATTTGCTCTTTCTCTTTGCTCTTTAGGAGTTGAGTAGGTTCAGTGTGAACTTAGTTGCAGTCAGCAAGACAAAACCAGTCTCACAAATACTGGAGGCTTATAGGGCAGGCCAGCAGACTTTTGGAGAGAACTACGTTCAGGAGTTGGTGGATAAGACAAACGATTCACAGGTACCCAAGTGTATTTTTGTCAAGGAGACTTTCCCAAAAAAAGCCCAATGCTTCTGGAGTGACTCATCAAAGTCATGAATCACTCTATACATACAGTGATCATCCCTGTAATTATTTTTTTAAATATGAATGGCATTTCACAGATTTTGTCCAGTGCACCTGACATTAAGTGGCACTTCATTGGCCACCTACAGAGGAACAAAGTGAGTAAGCTATTGTCTTGCCCTAACTTGAGAGTTGTGGAAACGGTTGACTCAGAGAAGTTGGCAACAGCTTTGGAGAATGGTTGTGAAAAACTGCAACGAGAAGATCCTCTTGAAGTGATGATTCAAGTCAACACTTCTCAGGAAGAAAGTAAGTATTGGAGTCCTACATAGTATCAGATAAGAATTATCAAATAAGCCAAAATCTCTGTTTAGGTAAGAGTGGAGTGTCCCCAGAAAATGTTATCTCTCTGTATACATACATGAGGAAAAACTGCCCCCACCTGAAAATCCTTGGACTTATGACTATTGGAGCTTATGACTTCGATGTATCTTCTGGTCCAAATCCAGACTTCATAGTGAGTTCAACAGTATGATTTTCATTCCTGTGGCTGCTTCAACTTTTTATTAGAACTGATAACCTGGACTTCATTTTCTCCATGTCAGAGTTTGATGAAATGCAGACAGAATGTCTGTGACAGCATGGGGATTCCCCTTGATCAAGTTGGTCTTTCCATGGGGATGTCAGCTGATTTTGAGCATGCTGTGAGTGATCAGGGTCCCTACAGATGTTGAAAAACTGAAATAGTTTGGGAAACATATTGTTTAGACAATTAAGCAAGATGCAAAGAAAAGTCAAAGTTGTCAGCTAAAGGAAAAAGTACTTGTGAAGTAAAACTCCAAATCCTTTTCTGGTATGGAAATTATTCTCCAAAGACCTGGACATGTCATGATTGAAAATTTCTCAATTTCTTTGAAATTAGGAATCTCATATCCACTGGAAAATGGTAAAAGTGAAATTAATTTCCTGTCTAGATTGAGTTGGGGAGCACCTATGTACGTGTGGGCTCTACCATCTTCGGTGCAAGATAAAAGAAGGTTGATGATATTCCTTTGATGATGTGCAATATTTACATTTCATCCTTGGCTGTGAATGATATGAGCCCTTAGCAATGGCTTGGAGCCTGCTGATGCAGGTGTAATTTGAATGGCAATGGGAAGAAAGGTGATGGACAAATACAAAAATCTTTCATCTGTACCTGCTATCTCATTTATTCTCAAAGTAATTCAATTTCTTTTGCATGATTTTAATTTTAAGGAGGGAAATAAGAAACTGAAGGATGAACTGACTTTATTGGCTTCATCCATATGCATTTCATGCACACTCTTCATAATCATAATCAAGATTCTATGATGAGGAATTCCTTACCCCTAGGGTAATTTTCATCCATTAGACTTTGCTCCAGATTCAATTTGATAATTGGAGCAAAGCATAAGGGAATACAGCTACCATGCAAATAAGGTGAGAAAAACCAGAGTTTCAGTAAAGTGTTGCTGGTGAGAGAAGCTTGAGCCTATCTAATTGGTAAATGAATGTGGGATTCAACTAGAATAGAGTCATAGGTTTTTGTATTTACAGTACATGAATATTTTCTCCTCCTTAAGAAATCCTATATCAATGTAAAGAATTTATCCATTGCAATACTCTCTAACTCCAGCCACAATACACACCATATTAGTGAAATAAATTCTTGTTTCTAGTTTTGAATATCTACTGCAATCAAGTTACATGACCCACCCAATGCAAGTACATCCTAAAGATATCCCCTAAAACGATTGAAGAAGTCCCATAGATGACATTTTGGGACATCTCAGGGCTTTATCAACATGTATGGTCAAGAGGATATCTCCATTAATGAAACTCTTATTAAAAGCCATCCATTTTACCACCAGCACAAATTTATCCCTTACTCGTCCCAGAGCCATCTTCTGGAAGCATGTAAAAAAGTCCCATACATATACAGTGGTACCTCGCATAACGAACGCAATTCGTTCCAGCAGTGCGTTCGTTATGCGAGGTGTTTGCGAGTGAAAGTGAAACATTTTTTCCTAATTTCCTTGATTTTTCACGGCGACGTGGAACGGATTACATGATTTCCCATAGAAGTCTATGGGAAATCGTGTTTCACATAAAGAAACACCTCACATAACGAACGCACTGCTGGAACGAATTGCGTTCGTTATGCGAGGTACCACTGTACAGTATTTAGGGGATGTCTTTGTCATCTAAATATTTGGGTGTGGAGGCATTTCAAGGATGAGTATCACTCAAAAGGAATCTTATTGGGATATTTCAAGGCTCCAGTTATCTTCACCCCTTAAAGTGGGGAATTTGGAATGGAGGCAGAAGTCCCTCCCATAGTGGGAACTTTTTTCCTGAGAATTCATGTTTGCAGACAGAAATTTTCAAGTTTATACTCAAATTTTGAGATTCAAGTTAATACAGTATTTAACTCTAACTAAAAAAATAGAGTTGACATGAATATACATCATACTTAAGGGATTGAAAGATAGCTCTTTTGGAATATCAAGAATTCAACTGAAGATGTCTTTACAATCCCTCATGGAGACATTAGGACAAGTCATCTAGTATGGGACATCCCTGGGATAACTACATGTAGTGTGGTGTGCAACACTCCAGACCTTAAAAAGGATGGGGGTCTTCAACATGACTTCAAATAAGATTTTTGATGATCTGATAAGAGCTATTTAAAAATGCCAATCTAACCTTTTTTTCATTTCTCTGAGAATAAACCTTAGCTCTGGTGAGAATAGTACCTAGAGGGAAACACTGTCTGCATCAGCCCATTTATGTTCTTTTTGCTCTGAAAGTGAACACCAGAATAAGAGAACCAATAAGACCATTATGCTAGTTCAAGTGGCATTTTATGTCATAAGAGATCACACAGATGCTTCCACTCAACATATCAGTACCAATGCTCCCAGTGTGACATCAGGTGATCACTTGGGCAATGTCCCAAGGAAACTGAAACCTATCTTCAGGCAAAGGAGTGCAATGAGTTGCCTCAAGGTCTTCCAAGTGTACACTGGCCTGCAAGTAGAAGTAACAAAAAACATGACACGGCTAGTTCTTCATACTATGTATAACTCTCTACTAATACTCAAGTGACTGACAAGGTAAAGCATGAGGCTGATCTTGGTGTCGTGGTCCAAATTTTGTCCTATGCTCATGGGGAACTTTGTTCCATGCACCTCAACATGAGACTTCAGTACCTTGTTCATCTGCTGCTCTTGAACGTTGTAGTGCCTCATCATGGCCTCTGTGAAAGAGACAAGAACATATCATCATCCAGCTTTGCATGAAGTAATTGTTCAAGTGGGACATTCAGGTGCTATAACATTCTTGAAAGAATCCTATTTTATATGGAGAAGGTTTTTGGTATGCAGAAAATATGGGGGAAAATTATATGCCTCAGCAGGGAGACCACAAGCCTGGAATATATGTAGTAGCAAAGATGCTTCTTTGGTTTACAATGTGTACTCTCCACGGATGTCCATTATTGAAAGCAGGTTTGGTTCCACCTTCCAAATTTTTTGCCAAGCAGTTGACCTAAGTTGATCTATTTTATAGTTTTCCACTTCTATGCAGTGTCTGTACAACTGGGGAATTCCTTGCAGTGGCCAGAATCACCAAATGATGATAGACCAGGATTGCAACAAAATGCACCATGGAACAGTTCATGGGAAGATCCTAGGAAAGAACTAAGTGCATATGTCAGGGAATCTTCAAGTGGCAGTGAGTCAACAGATCTTATGGCATTCCATGGCAAGAAGGCATCAAAGAACTTGGGAAAGGTAACCATAAGTAGGATTCACACCATGAATCAAGTGAACAATGACATGAGATCTGAGCTATGGAACCTTGGTTATACATTGTTCCCACTCAAGAGGCTTCTAAATCCTACTTCTGAACCCACCTTGGCAATCACAAAAGGAGCCATAGACAAGGGCAGCACAAAGCACCCAAGACATTCTCATATCACTCCAAGGGACATAACATTCCCAGCTAGTTCACAAGGACTAGAGTTGCTGAAACAGCACCTTGCATTCATTGACTGGAATCAACACAAGGAAAGGGACATAAAATGGCATCACCTAGGTGGGAGGTATCAACAAGGTATCAGCTGCCAAGACCTAAAGCAACAGGAAACTGAACAACTTCAGATCACAGAAGTTACAAAGACCCCACAAAGCATATATGCCATTGAATTTTGGAAGCCAAGTGTGGAACAGGTCCAAAAAACAATGGATACCCAAAATCTGATTTGGGTTTCACAGAACTGGCAAGTTGGGCAGGACTCTCATGTCCAGAGGAAAATGAGCAAGAAACAAGAGCAAGGAAAGAATAAGAAAGTAAGGCAAGCACTTCCATATGAGCAAGTTGCTGATTGGGGCAAGGTCATTGCCTATGGTGCAGAGGATGTGTTCAACCATGTTTGTCAGAAGGAGGGGTTCAACAGAGATCCTGAATATTGTAGTCGAGTGGCAGAATGCATACAAAGACCCCCAACTGGTGACAAACCAGAGGGATTCATGTATACCCTGCGTCAGTGTGATATGGGCCTCAATTGGGACATGACTACCTTATCCTGCAGGCAAGCCAGTCAAGTGGATTGCTCCATCCTAGAAGCAGATATCATCAGACACAGTTTGAAAATCTCACAAGGCTTGCAATCATTCAGGACCAAAAATGAAACTGAAAAGAAGAGAATTTTTATTACAGATTAGCTTCCTTAAGTGGTGCACTAACCTCCCAGAGGATATATAAGCAATGAGAAAATAACAAGAAATTGATGACATATTACTCTCCATTTCCATATTACTCTCTCAAAATCCTCAATTTACAATGTACAACTACATCCAAAATGTGAAATAAGATGAGAATTTAATTCAAAATTAAGCACATCTTGATGTTTTAGACATATGCCAATATTTTTTTTAGATAGGTAGTCTTGCTTGATTGCCTTAAAGTTTGAATAGACCATTCCATTTATAAGTTTTATTATTATAAAATAACAGCAACTCATATCTGAATTGGTCCAGTCAATAATATAGGAAACAATGGTAGCAAATGCAACCTACCTAAGACTGTGAAGACAGAAAAAGTTGAGGTTCATTCCTCATGGAAAACTAGACCTTCAGGTGCACTGCATTTAGGAAGATCTAGGCTCACATTTGTGAGCACCAAAATCAAAATGGAAAATTGATAGAGAATTTCTTAATGGGCCACTTGCTGAATTTTCATTTTTTGGCTCTTATAATGGTCATGATCACCTTGTTTCAGTTGGTTATGATGGGTAAGTTACTCCTAAAACTATTTCTAGCCCAAGTATGGATTCCAGTTATCACTTCTTTGTCTGTCATTACCTATTATAGATTATAAGAGATATTTGAGCCACCATGTTGCTTGGAGGAATCAGGACCCTCAAGGATTGTTGCTTCCCAAGCCATATTGTTCAAGTTCAAGCTCTGGTGATCAAGTAAGCATGTTGTACTGCTGTCTACATTCAGAAATGGGTGTTGACATCCCTCATCCAACAGTACTTTGGTTTGAGCAATAATTCATAGTGCCATCTGTGAGTCTGACAAACTGTAGATCTTGTGCTGCAGGAAAATCATCTCTAGCACATTCAAGCAACTTATCTCCTTTCACTTCCACAGGTACAATGGGATGGGGACAGTCGCCATCATCATACAAGACAAGAGGAATGGTACTTATTGGCATCATAACTATTACAATGGGAACCATAAGTCTATTAGACTATCCTTCAGGAGATTTTCTGAACCTGGGAAAAAAGAAGAGCTATAAAATCTCAGTACATACAATCTCACAACAATACAGGGTGATAAATTAGTAGAATGCATTTTATTATTTCCTTTATTACCACAAAAAGTAAATTTCTAAAACATAATTGCAAGACTGGCTGATTATGAATGTGGTACCTATCACTGAAAAAATTATGAGCTGGCAGTTCTCCACTTCTTCAGCAGCCAGTTTCTTCCTTTGGATCATCTAATTCTCATTCCTGGAACGGCATTCCAACAATACATTCTCTGAAATGTTGTTCCAAGATATTCCAGCTGATGAAATCCCTAATTCTCACTGTGGGTTCTGCTGTTTTAATTCCAACAATGTAGGAAGACTAGAGAAGCAAAAACTGCAGGGTATCTGGACTTTCAAGAAGGCCAAAAACAGAAACTACATGGAAAAAATGTTGGCAAACAGTGGAACTCTGGTGACTACCTTGAAGAGGATGAATTTCCAGATACATATCATTATCACATACCCCAAATCCATACCACATTCCCATGCCACGAGATTCTGCATACTCACAATCAGCTATACCACCAAGAAGAAGCACAACCTAACACCCTCGATGCTGATTGCTTCATAGAGCTTCCCATACAATCCAAAGGAAAATCTTTCAAGACCATGATGAAAGATACCCAGAAAATACCATCAAGCAACATAGATATCCAAGCCAGCCAAGGTGGACAAAATTCAATCCCAGCTAAAAAGATCTGCTGTCATTATCAAGATCGAGATCCAGAGCAAAGAGAGTATCAGTATGATAAGAGCCACAGCAATAATGAAATTGACAATCCCAAGGGAAGTGGAAACTCCAGCATATACACTTATGTTAACCCCAAACAACAAAAGCAGAGCAAGCATTACAATACATCTCCCAGTGCTCCTCATTTTTCAGCAGCTGATTATCATGGATTTGCACATCCTGGATATAAATGGATCCAGTATGATGACTTTCCTGCAACAGATAGTCCTTACTCTTCTGCCATGCCTGTGTATTCAATTGTACCAGGAGCAGAAGCCACATACAAATCGTCCCCTTTTTTCAATGCTCTAACAAACCAAGTCCATTATTTGAGACAACATCTTCAACCATGGGTAGCCAATTACCCTCTGCCAGACTACAAAAGAACCTCTTCACCCAACAATGGACCCTTAGTGCCTTTCCAAGAGAGGTTCAAATGGGCTATCACACCTGGAGGTATCAATCCCAAGTCAAGGCACAAACAGACTAAAGCAAAGAAGGTAAAGCATGGTCGCCATCAGAAAACATCATTCATTAAAGCATGTAAGGACATGTCCCTTTTCAATACCTCAACCCTATATTAGAATACATTGTGACTACCTTATGATGAACTAGCAACAGCCACTCATATGTATGACCATCTCTCCAACATGAAATCTTGGTACTTGTTCAATGAGGAAGATACAACATAGATCCTCCATCATGCCTCTGCATGAAGGGAATTACCCAAGGGAGGTTACAACTAGGTTGAAAAGTCATGGCAAGAACATATGCAAGGAACTACATCTAAAAAGTTCCGGGAGAAATCTTTACAGGCAAAGTCAATGTCAGGTGTCCATCATAACATTATCGTCACTGAGGCTGCACCAATGAGAGCAACCCACGGTCTGTCTGAAAACATGAATTTCACAAACTGGAAACTTCCAAAGGGGTATGTTTAATGTAATAAGTGAGTTGGAGAAGAAGCTCATGGAGATCAATATTAACCCCTTCATTGGCAGGTTTTCAGACCTGTTACAAGATATGCAGGTGAATTTCTCAGGGATGCCAGTAGAGGGGTTCAAGGTGACAGTTAAGCAGTCTGCTAAGCCTAAATCAAAAGCAAAAAAAGAAGCTGAATAAGACCTGTTGTAGGCAAGTTGGGATGTTGTGAATGTCCCCATCTGTGGGAGAATTCACACTTGACACACATTTGACACCACCCAGATTGTGAGAGAGGTTGTAGTAGAATGAGCATCTACCAAAGTGTTTTTATGCCCAATATATGCCACAGCACAGATGATGAGGGCTTAGGTAAGTAAAATTTGAAAATGAAACCGGAACTATGGCTTTAGAGCATGCAAATGAATTGTAGAAGTTTTGAGTGCTACAAAACTTCCTGACATTAATAAATTTTAAAAATCTGAGCATTTCATTATGATCACATAAAAGCATGTGAATTTATCATCTCATCCCTAATGGCAAGTGATATTTTACATCTATGACCACTACCAATGGTCTATTTCTACAATGATTCCCTTTTTTTTCTCTTGCATGCAGCACAACATCCAAAAGAGCCAATATCAAAAGAGAGCAATGAGACATCAGTAATACCTGGAGTATCAGCTCAGTTACTGGAGGCTCTCACATCTCTCAATCAGAAAGAAATCCATAAGCTGCTAGAAGGAAATGAAGATGAAAGCTGGAGCTCTGCAAAGAATTCTACTCACTCCATGAAGAACCTCACCACTCTAGACAAGCTCAACTCCATTCTCACTGCCATCACAATGATGGGTCTGGCTAACACTCTGAAGGACATACCTCTAAAGGCAATTTCTCTGGCAGACTATGATGACAATGATTTCTTTGCACATCCACCTATATTAATGAATGCAGATCCAGTCATTGGAGTTCATAATCTACAAGAGTGCTTCACAGAGGACTTATACCCTGACCCAGACAATTGTTCCAAGTATTATCGATGCATAAAGGATGCAGATGGGTTGGGATGGAGATTCTCCTTTACTTGTCAACATGGTCTGTACTTTGATGAACTTCAAAGACAATGTGTGACTCCTGAGCAGAAGGGAGCAATCTTTGGATGTTCATCAACTCTTGCTGGGAATCCAACCAAAGTTTAATTCATATGAAATGGATATATTGATGAATGAAAGGATATGAACCAAAACTGAGTGTATGATCTCTAACTCCTCACCCAAAGCTCGTGGCAAAGTATATGTGGGGTTATCCATAAAACTGTTATAAGATATCAACTTCATGCAACATTAGTTTAATGTAAAAGTAGTGGGAATTATGTGCCCTATTCTTTGAGTGAATGCTACATATATCAGAGCAGAAAGTGCCTAAGGGTCTGTCCATGCGAAGTAGTTGCAAGTTTTAGAGCAGGAAATTTCTCAATGTTCGCAAATACTACATTCAATACAAAAGTTTATCTCTTTTCCCTAAATGCATGAATGAATGAGAATATTATCTTTAAAAAGGAAAGAATTAGTCTCTTTTATTATATTATTTGTACCACTCTCATGATATACATGGATATGATGGAAATGCAAATCTGGAGAAACTGAATTATTTTGTACTACTGGAACAGAAGCAGCATGGGTTTTCCCATGCATAGTGATAATTTAAAATCAGCTCAGGTGTGAAGAGAAGATATCAATTATTTATATTTAAATTATATTTTGATAAAAAGTTAAAATTTACACAGACTTCTTGTTTTCAAAGATATTTTAAGAACATGTCACATCCAACAAATTAAATTAGCATTTTCTTTTCTGAGTTCTGTAATCATGGGGTGACTTCCACTAATTTCAGGTTTTCAGTTAATCTATAGAACATAATAGTAGGGTCTGTTATATAGCAGAAACATAAACTATTAGGCAGAAATGTAAATGTGACTTCAACCTGAGGTTCATGAAATGTCAGGTCCAACACTTTACTTTGCACACATATAGGTCTTTAGCAAAAGAGAGAATGTAACACTCTGCCAAGTGGAATTTTCGGTCACTGCATAAGGTAAATTGCTGCAGCCTTAAATGTTGGTTCTACATTTATAATACAGTTGAATACATTTTGCATATCAAACATATTACAGATGTCATGTCTGACACTTTGGACAGGCCCTTAATTGAAATTTGACAAGAAACCAATACCAACAGGAGAGAGATTGATTGATAAGTACTAAGAAAAGCAATGACTGACACTTAAAAGCTCACTAAAATACCAGTACTTAGAGCAGAAGAGATACCATTGAGCAGCTTACCTCTGCTGCCTTCATCCGAGTTGAGCCACTGAAAGAATATAGGCTCTTTTGCAACATCAAAAATCTTGGGATAGCGATATTGCAGGAAATCGTAGATTAGGAAATTTCCTCTGTTGGTCCTCAAATCTCCAGGACTTGAAAAAAAGGATTCAAACAACTGTATTGGACAATGGGAAGTATAGAACATTTGCATTTTTGCGATTGACTCTCTTGACTTTTCCTGTGAACTGACATATCATTAAACTTTTAATGCTACCTAAAGTTCAGGAATTGGGTTAGGTTCCCCATGTAAATGAATGTCAAGGAATGAGGGTGGTCCAAATAAGACCTGGATTTGTGTTTATAAAATGCAGAGTGATGTGCAGGGTGTCCTATAAGTCACTATATCATTTCAAATTGCAATATTTTCCAAACTGCAACAAGCAAGTCACTGTTTTTAACATTGATGGAAAGAAAATCCTTTAGAATTCTTATCACAATAATGACTTGGTATCAGAATCAAACCAAAATTATTCAATACTCTGAATAGATATTAGGTGTGCCTGTTTAGGACTGTTCATGGTACACCTTTTCCAATCCTCTTATCCAAAATTGGTCATTTTCATGTTTTTATCTCCTAAATTCAGATAGACTTGAGAAACAGAAAAAAATAACATTTTGTTGAATTTGCTTTTGCTGTCATGAGAAAAGAAAAGGCTTTGAAATTGATGCTGGTGCAACAAAGAAAAGTTTCCACCTGGATGGAGGTCTTTGAGAGTCCCATCAGAGTTCAAAGGGAGTTAAGGCGATTTTTGGTGGGAAGCCACATGCCAAATACCTGTACATTGATGCAGGCAGAGGGCATTTTGAGGCACTTTCAAAACTCATAATTACCTCTATTTTTGAGAAAGATAATTCCAAATGACATGCTATCATTCAGTTAATGTTATCCCTTTTTTTGAGCAAACTGTTCAGGGTGTTATTTTTTTTATACAGAATAGTGACTTATGGGACACTCTGTATGTAGATTTAAAATGTTGGGGGGAATTTGTCTTTATAATGTTGGTAACCCACACCCACAATCACATGTTTTTTACTTTGTTACAAGTGCTGAAAATCAAGATGGCAGCAATTAAGGTGACTATAAGGAAGAGAAAGAACAGCAAATAATTATTAAATTTCAGATCAATGAAAAAATCAAAACCATTAAAATTTACAGATGATTGCCTGTCAAGGACATCCATATCTGACCAGTGTAAATAATTTTAAAAGGACATGAAAGTGTACAGAATGAACCTGCTAATTTCTGGGTGGGATCTATATGGTTGATGTTTTTTTTTATATCTATTTAATTTTTTAATTGAAAATTTTACAAACAAAATATCAATATCAATGACAGATTTAATTGGTACTATTTTTTTTTTTGTCAATCTGCAACATTTTCCAAGTCAGCTCAGAGCAAAATTTTCAAAGTGCCATTTAACAATTATGGGCAGGTATGGACACAGAAGAATTTCCTAACAAAGTACATTAATAAGATTGAATATAGAGCCTACAATATATGCCACTTCATAGAAACACTGAATACTCACACAGAGCAAATGATTTCATCATTGGTGCGTCTGTAGAACAAGACTGGTCCTTGGTATCTGTGCAGCTGAGCAGTGTTGTTTAAATCAAAGTAGTTGACAATAACACTCTTGATGACTGGATGTAAGAAACCTGGGAATTGTCCGAGGGCCAGGGGCATCACATGGTCGAATGAAGCATCCAATATCTAATAATTGGGGAAAGGAAATGAGAATCAACAGCTTCCAGGGATAACAATGAGGTGGTGAAGTGCATGCAGTTTCAAGACATGAGTAGGAATGGTTTGAAAGTGATAATCAAGAAAAAAAACAACCAAATGTCTAAACAGGACTTACCTTTTTACTCATTTCTTGCTAATGCATTTCAGAGCACTGTACTCAACAGTCATGGAAGAGATCATAACCACTGAGGAAGGCTTTCTGAGTGAGTGTCAGAAAAAAATTTTCAGGAGTATCTCAATTCAATTCATTATGTACCAGATTTTCATGAATCAAGATTCCCAGGACCTTCAGGACCTTCATCAGAGCAATGTCAGAAAAAGTCACAATTAATTTTAAGAATCAATTTTTTCAATTTGAATAAAGTTTTTTCCAGTCAAAATATTATTTTATTATATATTTGTTCCTTTGTTCTGCATTTTGTATTATGAAGCTCTGCTCTTGATTTCTTCAGTATCCATTACTAGGATAGGGAATGACTCATGGTAGAAGATGCATGGGGTGTTCCCAAAATTCCCATGACTTACAGCAGTTAATGGTTTTTTTTATTGTTCTTGCTCTTAAGCAAAAACAATATTAAGTCACCTTAATATTTCAATTGTGATTATGCTAATTTACTCATGTCATGCTTCTCCACTGCAGGCAATTATGTAATTGTAAAATTTGAACATCTTGTTTGGGAAAATGTATTGAACTAAAATTGTGTTCAGCTTTGAAATGTGACAGGTATTCTGGTACACCCTGTATATGTGTACATTGTGTATACATTGTGTACTAATTTCATCACACATACAGTGAACATACCCAGAACTGTCTCCAATAGGGCAGGTGTGATGTTCCTGACTGCTATCCCAATGCGTGTGCGCAATTCAGCCACGCTTTGTGTGCATGTGGCATACAGAATGTTCTTAACATGTTCCCACAAATGGAAGTCTCTAGGGATCAGGTCTGGGGACCTGGGAGGCAATAGGGTGAACACCCTATTCCATCCATCGGTTTGGAAACTTTTCATCCAAAAAGATGCATACTGGTCCCTAGACCTGACCCTTATGAAATTTTTCATTCAAATTCAGCAAAAAAAAATCATGAGTCAGGTCTGCAGACCAGTACGCATCTTTTCATTTGATGCATATTGCATATTTCTATGCCTCCCCATTCTCAATATATATGGGCATGAAATCCCTCAGGGGCATTCTGTCCACCCTGTATAATTCTTATATTCTTCCCTTTGTTCATGATAATGACAGCCTACACCACCATTCTGGAACTGAGTTCTTTCATGCATGAAGCAACTACCAAAGATGATACAACTTGTTATGGGTTCAGCATAATAACTCTATTCAGCTCAATTATATTACTACCTCAACTCCTGTAGATACCCACAATAAGCCATTGGAAAGGGAAATCACACATTATAGTTCACCTTGCTCTGAATTCCCAGAAAGCAACCTGTTAATTTTGACAAGTGTTGAGGAACACATTTCTCAAAATTAGAATTTCTTTCTTTGACCCTTGCCAACCCATGATATAATGCCACTGTTGGTCATCACTGATTTTGCTCCCATAATGAGGGTGCCACCATATCTAAATAACATCCCCTACTTGACATCTTTGAGGAGACTTTTCTACATAAAAAAGTTGGCAATAAGTGAGGGTGGCATAACACCAAGTAGCAGTACAACAAAGGTTGACTATATAGTGCCCCAAAATCATTATTGAGACAGGTAATAAAAATGGTCAGGTTTGACCCCTGAGTTCCTACAAAACATCATGGAATGTAATGAGCAAAGTTAGAGGCTACTGCAAAAAATCTGAAACATATTCAATGTTCTTGACAGTTTCACAAGAGGCTCTGAGAGGTTGGTGGTTTGCACCTTGCATGCCACATGTGATAAGCAGAGAAAGAGGATGTATGAAACACACCAAGCCTTTCAGATTTGGTTGAGTCATGGCTGCCCAAGTTGCAGTAAAACCTCCAATGCTCCATGCAACAAGAAGGATGTTTTCAGGTGGGAATCCAAGAACATTGATGGCAAAGTCCATCACTGTGTTGCAAGCATTTCTTTCTTGTGGTGGGAATGGCAATCCCTTAAAAAAAAAAAAATACATCAGGGATATTTAACAATATCTGTTTTTTACATCCACCAGAGGTTCGTCAACTCACTGTACTTCCTCCAAAGCCTGGATGGTTCCAACCAAGAATGGAGTAGTTTTTCCTCAAGACAGTTGACAAGACACCAAGCTCATAGTAACCTCCATTCCCTTCAAAGCCAATGATGAGGTATTCTGGTCCATGCCCAGGAGATCTAAGAATTCACAAAAGGAAAATAAGACTCGATGGAAGTCTCATAAATTTTTCCTAATTCCATAGGGGTCAGCATGAGCAAATAAATCTCCAAATACACACATTTTAGATTAAAACAACATGAACTCATCTGTTTTTCTTAAATTTTCAGCAAGCAACAGGACCATATCCTTTGGTAGAAAGATATTAGCTTAAAGGACCAGAAGACAGAATGAACTTAACCCTTTCCTGGTCTGTGGCATGATTTAATGCCATCCCTTTCCCAACAGTTATGACATCTAGTTGAAGCACAAACATATATAGATGTGTTGCTAAGTTGTCATAGTCCAAGATAAATCCAGAATATGGCAGGAGCCTCCAGAACAGAAGCCTGCACCATGGCATAAAATCCACCATGAACCCGTAAGTGTTGAGAAAGGGATGGCGTTAAATCACACCATGGACCAGGAAAGGGTTAACATACAGTAGCATGCCTCTGAATAGAAGGTAGTAACTTTTACCAAAAAGTCTGGAATATTGGAATTGAAACTATTACCTTGAACTTTGAATTACAAATTGAAGGTTTAGAGCATTTAATAGCATGCCAGTTTCAGATTTGTCAACATCTGGGTTAACAGGGTAGTGGACTGTTGACATCTCCTCACAATTTTTCAATGGAAGAACCTTCTTCAACTGAAGAAGCCTAACCCAGTGGCAAGGAAAAAGCTTAAATTCATGTATCCACTTCCAAAGAGATTATTTCATCAAAGAGGAGATAATTGTAAAGAGTCTCCAATATGAAGCCTTCATGCTAAATGAAACTTGAGGTTCATAGAGTGATTATATCATTAACATACTGATATAACATACCTTTTTCTGCGATCAATGAGGAGTGCATCAATTTTGTTGCCATCAGGAGTTCCAAGGTAGAAGCGCTCTCCACCATGCTCAATCAACATTTGCCTCCGAGCTTCAGTCAGGTGAGGTTCTACAGAGATGCCATCATGCTTTTATAAACATTCCTTAAAGGAATTCTTGAAGTGAAGGCAAATCCATTTGATAAATACTACAAAACTAGCAAATGAGAAACAGTATAACTAATAATGTGGAAGAGAAAAGACACCTCAACTCACGCATGATGGCATTAAGGATAGATGTAGAACCAGGATACATGAGACACCTCCCCAAAGTATGAGCAAGGAGAGCAGAAAATATGTTCATGGAAAAAGGCTCCTTATAAGTGGATCTTGCTTGGCTCACGAAGTCTGTCTTCCAGTGAGACATCTCAAAGTCATAAGTTTTGAAGAGCCTTTGCTGGAAGAAAAATCATGAAAAATCTCCTTAGCATGCCACTTCATGGTCCTCCAACCACCTCATCTTTTTATATTTATTGTTTGCTCTGTATTTCTCAATCTCTGCAGTTTTTTTCAGTCATCAGGACAATGGTCTAAGTCTACAGTATATTAAAGAGAATAAACATATAATCAAATTGATGCTTTTTGGGTTTGGTTTTCATTATCAAGTTTTAGTTGAAACTGTGGGAAGAGAAAATGACTGCTAATTGAGTGCTACCACAAGCTGACTTCAGTGGGCAGCAAGGATGGAAATTAGAATTTCTGCTGGAAATCTTCACTAAGTGGGAACCATAATTCTTCAATTGCAAAATGTACAAGTCTCATTTAGGGGGGATAAAGGAGCCTTTCAGCTAAAGAGCTTTTTTTCTCCATAGGAATCCATATATTCTTAAAGGAAGGATAATTAAAGGAGGGTTCAGCATTCAAGCCTTTGAGTCCAGAGTCCAAAGTGGAGGTGATCCACAAAAACCTATACAGAACTTGTCAAGACTCAAAGTTTTGTACATTTTAATTTATGACACAGGAGGTCTATAATTCTTGACTACACAATCCTAAATAAGAAGATGGTGAAAGGAGAAATTGCATGAAGATCTTGATGAAGCAAGTTGGGACAGAAACTCAAGAAAATGTGTTCCCCAGCTCCCTGAATGAGAACTAATCCTGTAGTATAGCAATGCTGGTCCTCATAGGAACCATGAAATTGCTGATCTTTTGATGAACTGAGAGCGGGATTCTGTCACAACATATTGAGCATGACAAAAAAAAAGACCAACAACTTTTAGCTGACATATCCTCACCTGAGTTATTTTCATTAAGCTTGCATCATGCATACATCAACATGTTTTCATGAGACCTTAGAAATTTCATCAAAACTGATTCCTCCTGGGCAAGGCTGTGAGCATTTATTAAAAAGAAACTAGAAATTGGAAATGGACAGGGAATTCCAGTCCTTTAAGGATAAAGGGATATAGGTAGTTCTGCTCTATCAATCAGAACTACTTATACACAACAGGTGGCCATCCAAATGAGATTACCTTATCCCTTGAGTTCCATGATTTGATGAAATCAGAGTAGAACTCAGTATATGCAGAATTCATTGCACGTCCTACGCCACGTAGGAAATAGCCAATGCAGAAAGCGCAGGCACATGCTTTGAGGATCAGAACAGCTCTCTCTTGCATATACTCATGTGAGTGAAAGTGACCTCTTCTGTAGAGGACCAGCAATGTGATTGGAGAGGTGTAGATGGCCAGCCATTTGGCTATTCCCAGCTGAAAAATATATAAAAATAAATAAATGTTGGTATCATCCCAAGTGATGCACAGATAATCATTGATTGGAAGTTTGTTCAAACAGCAAGTCAACCACCTGAGAAGGGGGAATACCTAATTGCCTGCTAATGTATTCATTGATATAAATGAACTTTGAAACTGAGACTCCATCAAAATACAGGAGTTGAAGGTCATTAAAGGTAATCATATTGGCCTATAGAACATACCAAAATCTCATGTCCATCTTTCTATTTAAGTAAACAGATACTAATGCTTGACTGACGATTTCCTTGCCTATAACTAATTAGCTAATAGCTAATTAGCTATAACTAATTAGCTAAGAAATTTATACTCAAGATGAGGCAGTAATTCCCAAAATCTGAAAAATGGTGAGCAATGGCTGAATTCTGCTGCCTAAAAGAAGTCTGGGAATTGGATGGGTGATTTGGATAGAGAAATTCAGTCACATGGAAATATTCACTCACTAGAAAAAAAGTGAATCCCTTCACATGCACAGAATGCATGGGTGGGTAGCACACAACCCTTGTGTCATTCTTTAACTCATTGAGTCCTGGGCACATGAAAACTAGACTACATCAAAACCTAAAATGATGGTTCTGGGGCTCAATGTGTTAATACAGGAGTCAGGCTTCCTTTGGCTTGGATTACTGGTACCCTTCAGCATCCCTCTTCCACCAAGCAGCAGATTGAGAGCAACACAACTGCCTGGTTTGTTACAGAAACGTTCTGTGCATGGGTGGGAAATCACTTTTATCCACATAGGGATCAGGGGTGTAGAACTGGCAGCCTGTGAGCTGGATCTGGCCTGCCAGTCCATTTTGTTCCACTTGTGAAGTCCTCATCAACAATTCGTAAAGTACTGCAAATTTCAGTCTGTTTCCACAAAAGATTTAGTGTTCAATTTTTATTGTGGCCCCTAATCACACTGAAGGCTTCCATCCAACCCCCAGCCAAATCAAATTTGACACCCCTGGTGTAGATGCAACACTATCACTGTTAGGGATAGCAAAACATAACTTTCTTATAACTACATGAGGACAGGGATGGGTTTGCTAAAGATCATCTCTACTTCACAATGCATGTGCAATGGTCATGACCAGTCCACCAGTCTCAGGTCGTTGCCTTCCAGTCCCTTCTTCCCCCATATGATTTAATGCAAAGAAGTATCACATGTATGAAACATGGACAGCACACCTGACACAGTGGGCTTTAGTGATCCACTCTGAAGGGAGTTGGCATTTGACAAAGGTGATGATTGTAATCTCTGTCAGAGTCATCAGTAGGCCCAGATAGAACCTCTACAATTTAAAAATATGTTTACATCTGTCTAGAAAGCACCATGCTTCAAAATATTAAAACTGAATGCTTGGTTGCAAAAACACAGTACACTCATAAATACTAGGAAGATTGGGCTTCCACAGTCTGATTTATTAACAAATTTTTAAGTTTTCGAGGCTTTCAGAGCTGTCAGTGGTCTTAAAGTATCCCAAGCAAAAAAATACATATAAATATATGGGCATGTCAACTTACCACTGATATTATGACATCACCTGCTGTTTCAGGGAGCATGCGCTGATAAGGGACAGTCTACAAGAAGTGAAAAAAAACTAGTGAGTCAAGACTGAATGGCTTCTGACAGTGGAAAGTGAAATGCTGACTCACTCTATGTGATGAGTAGTAGGCATATAACTTGGGACCAAACATGTAGCGGAAGAAATTCTTCACCATGATGCTATGATTTATTAAGACTAAAATCAGGTGATGCTTTCAAGAACTTGGATGAGTCACTCCAAGATAAAGTTTGCAAATATGTTTTTTGTCTGGTGAGGCTCTTCCACCATGCTATGTGCCCTGAGAATGTCTGCTGCAAAAATCCCTTGAAAATCACCATAAGCTTCACGAGAAGAATTGGGTTTAAATGCAGCAAAACAGCTTTGATTCTTGGTGAGTTTTTTCTTTCTCCACCTGTAATAAAGAGCAAATAAGCACTGCCATATCTGAACCAATTTTCATGGAAACACATGATTATATTATAAAAGGATGAAAATATACTGTATAACTAAGCATATACCACTCACAATGCCTCTACCCTATTATAGCAGTTTTTAAAATCATACATCATACAGGGTAACACAAAAGTTTGTATCTTTTCTCGCAGCCTTCAATAAAATAAATTTAAAAAGCTCATGGAAAAATCCCAAATTGACAAAAATGGAGCTCAAACACTATTCTTTAAAAAAAAAATCACATACTCTCAAAATATTAGCATCTATACAAATTTTGGGAAGTTATAGACGATTTTATGCAATGTTTCAGTCGAAATTTGATTCCATGCTGCTTGGAGAGCAGGTTGCAGAGAGTTCAAAATTTTGTGAGGTGTTGAACAGGCCCTGGACTCCAAAACACCCTACATGGAAAAGTCCATTGGGTTGAAATAAGGCAAATACGGAGCCCAATCCTCAGAAGAGATAAAATTCAGGAAGTGGTCTAGACACCACTGTTGCCACAGATTTGCCTTGTGAGCTGGACCAGAATCTTGTAGGAAGGTCCAAAATTGATCTGCAAAGTGTTCTTGAGTCCATGGAAGCACAACCCCCTCCAGGATTTGTGATTGATACACTTTTTTTTATTTAGTTTAGCAGCTTCATTGATGAAAATCAATGATGTTTTGCTGGTTGAGGTTATTCCTGCCAAAACCATAACTGAAAGCAGTTTCTGCGATCAACTAACCACTCAACCAGCAGTGGTGTCAAGACCATTTCCTGAAATTCATCTTTTCCAAGGATTGACCTCCATAATTGCCTGATCTCAACATAAGTGACTTTTCCATGTGGAGTATTTTGGAGTTCAGGGCCTGTTCAAAACCTCACAAAAGTTTTAACTCTGTGATGTGCTCTCCAAGCAGCATGGAATAAAATTTTGACTGAAACGTCATGTAAAACTGTCTATAACTATAACTTCCCAAAATGCTCAAAGGCTTACATAGATATTGCAGATATTTTGAGAACGTGTGATTTGTTTGCAAAGACTAATCTTTGAGTTCTGTTTTGGTCAATTTGGGATTTTTCCATGAGCTTGTTAAAGTATATTAATAGAGGTTGCAAAAAAAGTTATGAACTTTTGTGTCACCCTGTACAAAATGTAGTATCTGCTCTTATGCACCCTTTTGCATCAGCACTATTCAAACAGCAAGGAGTTGAAAGGTGTGATTATCTCTTAGTCACTGTGAGCAACATTTTTACCATACTCAAATTCAAAATTTAAGATCTAAAACTCAAAATACAAAATATTTAGGCTCATGCAAGTCATTACACAATAATAAAAAAGTAGTTACTTCCATAACAGTGGAAAAACTTTTACTCAACTGCATTATTCTGCTACCCCAAGAAAAAAATATTTTTTTAATGAAAGGTTGTCACCATCTGTTGTGCTTAATAGGACTATGAAGCATGGGCTAATTCATTACATTTATAACATTGAGGAAAAATCTTCACTTCTCTGCATATTAGAATGAGACTTCTGACAAATTTATGGGGCAATTCATCACTCTGCTCATCATATTTCCCACAGGAATATACACTTGTATGACAAATATTATGCACTTACACTCATGTACTTGAAAAACATGGGCAAACCATGTCCAATGAAGGAGTGTTTGGGACTCTTACAAGCTTCTGCATGCAATGTTACCAAGGTCACAAAATCAAGATCAAAGTATGCCTTCATGTCAAGGTGATTTAGTCTGACTCAACATAATTTCAGCATACTCATCTCGTCCATTGGATGAATTCATAGTTTCAATTCAGTTTCAGTCTCATTTTTAGCTTCAGTTTCACTTACATATACTTAATGACACTTGATGACAAATATACAATTTGCATCATTTATGCTCATCAAGTTTATGCTGCTAATTAGAATCACCAAACCTTTGATGGCCCACAGAAATAGAATGGAGGCAATCAATAAGTATATTTGCATATTACAAAAGTGTAATCTGATACTTTTGACCCTCAAAGGACTTGAGGAATAGGAATTGCAATCACTCTCATTTGTCTCAGTGACAGTTTCCTTTGGATCATCATGTGTCTCTAAAGCCAATACTAACATCCTTTTTTTTTTCCAATCTTACAATTCCACCATTTGTTCACCATTGTTCCCCTCCTGCATCAACATGTATTTGTAACTGTTCAAGCTGCTCAAAAGATATACAAACTCCATTAGTTGACCTGTAGGCAGACCCAGCAGTCCCTAGGCATTGATCTGCAGATAACTAGCACCATTCTGCTGGCACATTTTGGATATCTGAATGGGTTTTGCATGCTGGCTGCTTTATTCCATCACAGAGAGTCATTTTACCAGCAATTGAGTTTTGAAAATTTATTGGTGAACTCACATCACACTTGGTGGAGGTATAAGCATACTCACTAAAATGTTAACATGCAGTTATCTGTGAAGGAAATGGCTACCAGACTGATATCTTCCTCATACAAGGTTCTCAAACTTTTCTTATGCCACTCATGCATAATATGGCATAATGGGTATGGCATGCACAAATAAACAAATTTCAGTCTCACATTGAGAAGTTCAAATGTCTACATCTTGCCAAGCCCAACCAGAAGAGCCATATTCACATCGAACACAGGATGCAACTCATGTATCTGATTAACTGGGCTACATAAAAGAAAGTAAAAATTTCAGCAGTAGCTTGCAAGGTCTAGCCATTATTACTCTTGCTCATTGTAAATTCACCCAGGCTGCAATAGACAGCCTCCATGTTAGGTCAGGGGAAATGATCAGGACATTCTAGCTATCTCTCTTTTCTAGGATCAGAGGATCAAAAACACAGAAAGGTCTACATATCAAAATAAGAAGTTATATTTTGGGCTGGAAAATTTTGACATTTGCAAATTTTGACAGATAAGAGCTAATTAGATGAAGAAAAAGGATTGATGGAAAATAATTAATACAGGGAAAAACTGGTTTCAGGGACTTAGTAATTTTTTTAATGCAGAACATTTGTGAATTCAATATGTAAAGTATCATGAAGTCTAAGCTGGGGCATTGGGATCTGACAAGTTCAGTCAGACTCACAAGCTTGAATATCAATAAAATCTCCTCCCTCTTATTTTGCTCTCGGGCACCACTACCCATCTCTAAATGTGGAAGCCTAATGATGAAGGACTAGAAAATTTGGCTGCATTTTCAATTAGTTTTAATGGAATTTGCTAAATGGAACTTTTTTTTTTTTTGGTCGAATTCCAACAAAACAAGCAAGCAAGGTAATTTGTTTTAATTACTCAAATTTAAAAATAATAATACTCACAATTCCAGTCCTACCTATATCCTGATTCCAAAATGATTACCACAAATTCCTGAAGCAACTACCAAGACTTCTTGTCAAAAATACTCCTTCCCTTCGAACCTACAAGGACAATTCCATCAATCTGGAAATAAGGAATAGGTTGAAAAGAAACTGTATCTTCAAGCACAATTTGTCAGCATTGTCTATATATATTAGTTTCCTTCACCTCTAAACAAACAAGAGACAAGAAAATTAATAGAGTATGAGAGTTTCATTTGGTGTCAGTGAATCACTGACACGCAACATGAAAATGCATGCTTCAGATAGAAATTGAAGCCACATAAATCAATGCTGTGGATCCTGTTTCTGGAGCAGTTGACAGGATAATCTCTTGCTACCAAATTTCATTCACAGTTCAAGATAAAAATTCACATTAGCTAACTTCTTCCAAGAAGTAAATTAGATAAATGTACCTCATAATGCCTCTACATGATTCCTGAGTGAAGAATGAGGGTAGAATATAATCAACAGCCGTAACAAGATTTCATTGTAATACAAAGGAGGAAATCAGACTAGCAACATAAAAAACTATCAAGTGGAAGGAGGTCATCACATTCAATATGGCTATATTACAACAATAAACTCCCATGAGGATTCTTTCTTCTTAAATCAATCTTTCCTGCCTTTTGACAGCCAGGCTGAAGTAAAGAATGGTAAAATAATGTGCACTTCTTAGGGAATGCGCTCCAGCCCTTGATCAATCATTACTTCAATCACTACTTCAATTCCTTTTCAAGGTCAGCCACAAAGCTGATATAGATAGATCCTTATTTGTAACAATGACTGAAGCACAGGACATGAGGCATCCTTGAGGGGCGATGATCAAGTTTCTTTTGTAACGATAAACAGTTCACATATGAAACAGATTAAAAAATGCAATCCTTCAAAAGCATCATGCCTTAGTCCTCATGCACCTAATCCTGTGCACATGGCTTCAAGTGCTGCTCCAATCAAACATGAGATCATCTGCCCATGAAACATGGCATGGGATTCATCTTACTACCATACATTACTGCCTGTGTACACAATGATGACATCAATTCCAATAACAAATTAGGGCTATAGCAGTACACTCAAGGAGTTCCAGATTTAAAGCATTGATATCATATGCAGAAAGTCTTGAGAGTTGAATACTTTACTGAATAAACAAAAGAGACTAGCATTTTGAAAACCACATCTATCATTTACTAGTCATTTAGAAGTTAATGCCATGTGTGTACTTTTTTTTACTGATCATATTGACCAAAAAAAAAAGTAGGAATATATCTGGATTTGGATGCTAGGGGTTCTCTGGAAGGTGGAGAGAGGTCTTTTTTTTCCATGACTAGAAACCAGCTTCCAAAAGGTTAGCATAACCATCTGTTCATACCACAACTCCAATGTGGAGCATGGCTCAGCAGGAACATTTGGACTTGAGAACCTGCAGATGGTACAGCTAAGGCATTTACTTTCGTTTAGGGGCATTAACAATGAATGATTCTCTTTTTTCCCAATGAACACCATCTCTAGGAAGTTCAGCATTCAAAAATGGAAAAAACCATGGCAAGTACCACTTCTCTCCAAAAACTTCAAGCAGATTCTGTGTTACCCCAAGATCATAATCATTCAGGTGCTTGTTACGCTCAAATGTTGTCTTTCCAGAAAGAACAAGATGCAGATGATAGAACAATAGAGCACCAGCCAAGAAAAGACCAACTACATTTAGGGAGAAAATGAAGCAAGAGAGTATTTCCATCCATTCATCATAATTTGACAGAAGGAAAAGAAATGGCACTAAGAACTTAAATAAATGATGAAAACTTGACAAGTTTGAAGCATAATACAAATAAACTGCATGGAAAGGGATTGTGTACAATGTACCAAGCCATAGAAATGCCAGGAATCTGATGAAATAATGATAGTTGAAGTATCCAATGCAGCACCCAGTAAAGATACAGTGATGCTCTCGTTTCAAAATGCATGAGTTGCATGTTCGGCAATGCCATGCTCTTGGTGGAGTGACTGCTTCACAGCTGTAGCAGTAACGCCATGCACTGTCTCGGATGTAAGAGGCAGAATCCACCACAATGTGTGTAGTTGATGTATCTGTTCGCATCACAAGGTACAGGTTTGCCAAGATGTTGAACAGCACCACTGATCCCAATACCAGGTGCACATAAAATCCCATAGACATTACAGCTGGAATGACTACACCAATCTCAAACACAAATGTTGTCAGAGTCACAAGTATGAGAAACACAAACGCATTCAAGTCTGATAACTGTCTTGGTAGCATCTGTCTGAATGGTTTCATCCTTATGGAAGGTGACATGTTCATTGTTTCCTCAGAAAATCAGTTGTATTTGATCAAAGAAATGATCTTTAATACCTGTGGATAGAGCATACACATCTACCTATAGTATGGAATCAGAATCAAATCAAAATCTAATCTCATACACAGACCAAACAGCAATTTCAATCAAATTCTGGACTCTGCTTCCTCATTATTCTGAAAGGTGAAGGATATAGACCAGGGAGAACTTGTTTCCTGCAAGGAAATGTGGTGTAACTTGAAAAAACTTTCACTGAGTTTATTTCCCAGTTTTCAAACCTGGCATAACCTACAGGGTGCAGAGAAAGAACTGTCATTGAGTAGTAATGAGAAAGAAACAATTCCAGACAAAATTAGAAAAGTTACAAACAGCCTATGGTAGGGGAGACTGCCTTGACATGAGGGCAGATAGCAGAGAGCCCTTTCCCCAACGAATCTCATCCACCATGTGCCTAAGTTCTATTCAGTGTACCTTACCAGCCTCAAGCATTAGACAGTTCAGTATTGCTAAAAGTCAGATCAAGCACTTCCACTTTCCTATCATTCATTGCTTTTGTTTATCTATGTTTCAGAGAAAATGCATTGACATCATTTGACTGTCAATCCATTTTCAATAAAATACCTCCCAATTAACAGGATTGCATGCAAGGAGAAATCAATGCATGCTGAATTATGCTACTGTAAGCAAGTAGATGACTTAATATAGCATGTACGGGCAAAATGAAGCTAACAAAAGAAATGGGCAACTTCCATTGTTAAGTAGTAAATTCCCAATATTTATGACCTACTAATGCATGGAATGCAAATGAATTGTAAATAGTAATCATTGACCTGGGCTTTCCTTCTTTGTAAATACACTTAGTTCCAAGCCACTATTACAGTTTTTTAAAAAGTGATGAAAATTTTTATTGAAAATGGGCTTTCACTCCAAGTTCCTTTTCCTCAACCTCAAATGTATCACTCAAATGCTCACAGACCCTTTTAATGACCCAAAAATGGTTCAATGTGCCCCCCTCCATGATCTACAACAGCCTCATGTTACTCGCCTCATGATCGCATGATCTCTCATCAATCAATCCATATCATGCAAGGGTGTGTGGGAAAAGGGGGTGTGCAGGAGAAACAGGTGACAGCAGCAGTGTGACATTGGAAAGAACTCAGGAAATTTTTTTGTCACTTCTTTTTAAACTATAATAGTGGACATTTCTCTCCTGCAAACTCCCCAAAATGAAAGAAAATTAAACAAGCTTCATTTTGCTTTTTTTTTTATTTATATTGGGCCAATGGGGCCCAAGTTATGAAGCTTCAAATTTGGGGTGGTTTTTTTTGGCCCACTCTGTATATATGCCTTAATAATGTGAAGAGTTAAAAAAAAATACAGATATTTATCCAATTCTCAATGTTTAGCCAATATTCTCTGACTTCTGGCAATATTGATGGATGTATATCAGTATCAGTGATTTTTGGCATGCCAATATGCAGACAATATAATTTTTATAGAGGACCACCTAAATTTGGTCAGGCCATGTCAAGATCAGGGTAAGAATGATGTGGAGGAAGGAGCTTGAGACACCTGACCAGTGCAGGAAGGTCATGGAGAATATGAGAATATGAAGACACAGAATGCCAAAAAAAAAAGTAAGGCATATAATGAACCACAAAAAAGGTTTTTTTTGGAAGGATTCTTTACATTTTTCTTGTTTTATCCATAATCTTGCCCAGCAAAATGAAGAAATGTTATGAATTTAGGATTTCCTAATTATCACTCTGCTTTTGGAAAAAGGCAGAGTGATAATTAGGGCAGAATTTTATATGAACCAATATAAAAGGCTCTAACTGATATTCAAAATTTTTCATGAAGGATTTTAATCACCCATTCCTCTATAAGGAAGCCATTGAAATGAAGTACAGATGGTAAGATATTTTTCAGTCTAGGATACTTGGCCAACTTCATTGGCAAAATTCCAAGATACAAAATTAAGCAATATGGAAAGTTTCCATAACAGTCATTGATGTTACAAGAAACAAGATGTTACAAGAAGAAAACATGACCATGATGCCAATGGTAACAGGAAGTAAACCAGCTGATTCAGTCAGCTGAAATGCCCACATTTAAGGCATTTCCCTGTGATGGTATGATTATAATGTTATGGACCAAGATAGACAGCATGGAGGTGAGCATTCACACAGACACTTAGAATGATCTACATCTAATGATGACTTCTGGTATCTCAGATTGATGACAACAAAGTAACTACACCCACTACAAGATGATATACAGCAGGGGTGTCAAACTGGCGGCCTGCTGGCCAGATCCGGCCCGTTGGTTCATTTCGTCCAGCCCGTGTAGTCCATTTCACTAGTTGGTTTTGGAAAAGCACTGAATTTCAACTAGTTTGTGTTAATAATTTGGTTTAAGGTTTGTTAGTGTGGCCCCCAAACATCCCTGAAGGGTTCCATCCAGCCCCCAGCTTGATCGAGTTTGACACCCCTGATATACAGGATGCCACAAAACTTAAGCTTTCCCCCCCCCCCCTTCTGTAGCAGTAGTGTTCAATAGTGGAGCAAAATAGCCTTTACTTTTGAATATATATTATTCGATCTTCATTTTCGGCTTAAATATTTATTTTTGCAAGCCTACCAATAGCCACTTGACAGCTTGAAGACAAGATGGGGAGGCCTGTAGCAAACACAGAAAGAGATTGGTGTTAAACTCAAGAGCCCATAGAACCGTCTCCAAAAGGCAACTAAAGGAAAACCACTGCCCAGAAGGCTCAAGAAGCATCTCATGTTCAACATGATCTTTAAAGATTGAACCTCAAGAACTAAGCTCAAGAAGAGTCCCTGTCCAGTCTGCATAACAGAATAAATCCGTCACTGTTAGCCAGAAGCTGCAAAGTGGTTAGGATTCATAAGCAAGGGGACTGGTCATGAAGGTATGTAACTTGCATGCCAATGTATGTCAATGTCAAAGACATTCTCAGGCTTCTGCAGAATGGGAATTCAACCAAAATAACATCTAAAAAGTATTGACAAAGTGACCCTTATTGACAGCATCTCACCACTTCCAACAAACTACAATATCAATTCCTTCAGCAATGCAGAACAGATGGGGGAATCCCCTGGCCTGAATGTCTATAAAAACATGGGAGTAACAATGAAAGATTGAAAATAAGAATTGAGGCCTCATAGGCAGCAATTTTCCTATGATGGCCTTTTTGAAATAAGCTTAAATGGTTCTCTGAACTCCTGAGTTTGACACAGACCTTATGAATTTGCTACATCCATATTGTCTTCAAGCCATAATCTAAGTGAGCACACACTGGATTGAGATATAAACTGAAAATATAGAAATAAAAACATTAATCATTAAAAATTAAGTTTGTTTTTCATTGTCATGGTTTGGTTGCTGAAGGGAAGGACTAAAGTTTTGTGGCACCTGGTATGTGGGAAAATGTGGCCAACATATATCAAATTGATGTTTATCATATGGACCATGATTAAAGTTATTTTACTTACATATTATATCATTAAAAATTATCAAAGTGATTTTTAAAAAATTAACATCCAGAAATACTATGCTACAATATGCCATTCTAGAATTATATGTAGTCACTAAACCAATCTAAAGCTTTCTGTTCATGCAAGCCTAACATTTTCCTATACACCCAATATGCCATAGGAATGCACATAGGAAGAACAGAAAAAAAGCAGAATGAGACTATGTAGCCAAAAACTCTCATACTGTAATGACATTTTCTCCAGACATTTAAACATGCTCAATAATGCTTGTTATGATGCCCTGCATAAGTGACCATTGACAAAACCATGGAACCAATCAGTCAATAGAAATAAAATTATCTGCAGCTATTAGAAGAACACATTTTTCTGCCAGAGAATATGAGCAACAGTTTGAGAAAATTCTGAGTGGTTATTATCAACTTGATCTTGGATCAGTGATAAGCAAGCAGAGGAGAGTAAAAGGAAGGAGAAGAATAAGAAAAGCAAGGAATGGCAAAGCCCTGAAAAGGTATTCATACACTATATTTTCATGTTTATGATTTTCAGTTCAAAACCATGTGCTGAGAGATATGCCTCTCCATGAATTTCAAAACTTGCTCAGCATACTTGTCCTGAGTTTCCTCTAGATTAGATCTGAGGCTTTGGAAGCATAGCAGCAAAGAGTAGATCCAATTTGCTATTCCTTGAATATAAGTTGGTGTGTTTAAGATACTGAGTATACAACTTCCAGGGATTATTACTGTCTTATAATTGACTTAAGCCACCTTGCCTTGAATTTGCACAATTTATGTGACCTCTACAACCAACTTGGCCCAGAATGAGAAAATTTACAAAGGTCATGGTCAATGGTCAAGTCATCTTCTCAACAAAGGTGTTTACTGCAATAGAAAAATTCCACATATTCAGGTTCAATCAGGGCAAACTTCTACCTGTTGAAAATCAGCATGAAATAAGAGTCTATTAAATTCTATGCATAATGAGCACAGGCACATGGGAGAGTGATCCCCAGAACATGGATGGAAAAAACACTTTACTCAAGTTCAGCATTTCAGATGAACAGAAAGAGCACCACTTCCTAAACAATAGGAAAAAACCAAAAGCCCAAGGTATTCTCACTGAGACTCAAAGCCAACAAAAAAGGGAGGTATATTGATGAATATGGCAGGACTAAATCATACTCAAGTAATCACAGTTTCTAGGGAGATCTAGATAATTTGAGGCCAAGAATTAGTCAAGCAAAGGAAGAATAATATCACTTTGGGGAGTAATGGCACTGACAGCGCTTGCCTGGATGCCCCTTGTTACTGCAATTGAGGTAATATCATCAGGAAGACAATCCAAGGCAGATTCCAGGACAGAGTGTTCTCGACTGACATGGCTCCTAAGGCGACAACGAAACTGAAAATCCTTGTTGCATATATGGCATTTGTACCTTTTTGCTCTGCCACAAACCCATTTATGCTGCTGAAGACTAGCTTCATTGAAATAAGTCTTACCACATCTCTCACAAACAAAAACCTTTCCTTCATTTAATACTTTGCAACGCCTTTCATGCTGCTTCTTTGTGCCTTGTTCTTCATAGGACAACCCACAATGTTCACAAAGTCTTATTCGAAAATGAAGCTTTGTATGCTGTTTCAATCGAGTCAAAGATGTAAAGGTCCTTGGACAGTGTTCACATTTGAATGGCTGCTCCACCTCACCATGACATTTCCTTTCATGTTTCAGAAGATCATGATAATACACATATGAACGGCTGCACAAACTGCAGCTATACTTGATGCCCGCATGAGAATGAAGATGCAGGGTAAGGTCTTTCAATCTAACAAATTTCCTATCACATACTGAGCATTCGTGTTTGCGCTCACCATGTATGTATAGCATGTGACTGATTAATGAGATTCGACTCTTCAGTTCCTTGTTGCATATCCTGCAGAACTTGTGATCCTCTTGATCACAGCACTGGGAAGTTCTGTGTGCTTCAAGCTCTTCTTCAGATGGGAAATATTCATCACATTGTAAGCATCTGTATGAGATAAGCCGGTGGTTTCCAAGATGCTCCTCAAACACTCTTTCATCTTTTACTTGCACATCACACAAGGAACATGACAATTTGTTATCATCTTTTAAAATATCATCTCCAATAATGTAAGAGTGGTCCACTTCTTCAGATCTCTCTCCTTGTTCACTGGGCTGTAAAGGGGAAGAAAAAGCACATCCTATTATATAAGTGAAGAAAATTGCTGCAACATCTTTGAAAAATAATATTTCATAGCAATACAGTCAAAAATGTATTCTTTGTTTCTATGTGCAAAACGTTTCAGACACAAGATAGTAATCAAGAAAATTCATACTCGGAAGTCTGAACGCCACCTATGTTTTCCAGTCACTGCAGTGGATTGCAAGGCAGATGATATAAGCCTTCTGGTTCTTATCTGAAGCATGCAGCTCTATGCATGAAAACTTCATTTATTTTTGGTTACATGATTGTTAACATATCCGGACAGATATACAATAGCTATATTTTGGGCGACTTCCATAGACATAGCTATGCAGTGCGGGAGAGGGCAGTCGTTCCGCGCACCCCTCGTTAACTGTCTTGGAATATGAGAGAACAACGAGAAAATAAAACTCCTGGAATTCTTGCATGACTTTATTCTGATGCAAGGCGTACAGCTTGCAGATGACGTACAGATTGCTATGCAGAAAAGGTGGAAATCGGATTATGCATGTTTCTCGGTCACTTTGGAGGTTTTCTGTTCAAGAATGTGAGCTCTCTGGTTTCATGGATGATCTTCCAGCTAAGGCTATGCCTCCTGCGTGACGAAATCCTCATGATGCAGAACTTGTTGCCCGGACATAGAGAGAGCATTTCGCAGTTTGAGTAATGAGTCTTCCTTGTCTTGCGAAGAGGGCGGGGAAAAAAAAACGAGCGCATTCTCCTCCAACAGTTTTCATCTGAATGGAGCGTGCCCACCTTCAATCGGGGGGAATAAAACGAGCTTTTTTTTCTTTCTTTCTGAAAGTGGCTTTTATCTAGTTCTATTGTTCTCTTTTTCCAAGACCTTAACAGCCAGCTGTTGTCCTTGCAGGTACGAGGTCTTACTGCGGAAATCTAGGAAGCTTCCAACGTCCAGAACTGTCTTCGTTGTCAGTTCTGTGATAAAATTCAAAGCAGACTGCTTGAACTCGGTTTTCTCGGAAGATTCCATTGGAAATGGTTTCAGATACCCGAGACGTACTTGTTCCAGAATATTAAACCTTTAAATTTTTTTTCCAGAGGAGCCAACACATGAATTTATGAATAAGGGTTTTAACTTTTTTTTTTAAGGGTTACCTACTTCTTCAAATTTTGACCTTCACGCTTCCTAAACGGGAATCTCCCGGTCAAGCCGGAAAAGTTGGCAACCCTACATGGAAGTGTGCTTTCCACAACTCCAGGATCCTGTTTCATGGAATTTAAAAGTTCTAAAAGTTACAAGTTACAATTTACAAGGTACAATTAATTACAAGGGTCGTGTCGTAGTCGTGCGAAGGGCCAGCTGGAAGAGTTAGATTAGGACAAACGACCCTTGCAATTACTTGTAACTTGTAGAACTTGTAAATTCCATGAAACAGGCCCCAGGTCTTGCCATTTAAGCTACAAGGACCCAGCTTTCCAGCTCGCTCTTAGGACGTCCCTGATTGCAGGTTCTTTTTCTGGAACTCTGTAGAGCATTACGACATTAGTTAACAACTAGTTCGACCCATCGTTTCTGACAACCCGATTCACAGAAAGTAATACAGGAACATGGCATCGAATATTTCCTTGGAACTACTACTCAGCGATTATAGAATGACTCAGTTCGTTCCCTTCTTTCACAAATGTCAATTTTTTTTTCGCTTTGCGGAATGCGTTATATTGTCTTTCCTGTTCGCTTTCCTCATACCTACAGAAGTGACCAATGCGGAACAAATGACAATTAATGGAAATGGGGTTGGGGCCATATATTTCCATTAGATGCATGAGCAGTAAGGTAAGGTAAGTAAAGAGGTTCTACCGCGAGGAGGAGGGGGGGGGGGACCACTTGGGAGAAGTTACCGCAATCAGGGAAAGTAGCCAATACTGCGAGCAGGAAGAATCGAACAATTACTGCAATGTATTTCCGCAGGTGAACGGACTGCAGCCATCCATGGGGCTGCGCCACGTGAGAAGTCTCACCATGTGAAGACTTCTGCGTTTTAGATTAAGATAGGTGAATCTCGCAGTGTTTTCAAACTAACCAAGAAGCTTCCTACCGAGACATTCAAGTCGATAGATTGAAAACAGCGTAGGCCGGCCGCCAGTCTGTTCAAAATTGTTTCCATCCTTTTTTGTTTTAATTCTAGCACCTCGGCTTCTTTCTCTTTGATACCGAGAATTCAGGAAGGGGGGGGGAGGGGGGAGTTGAGCAACTGAAATCACGAAACTACCATATCGCAATTTTTTGAGACGCCTTCCTCTCAATGATGGAAAATGCGAGTCTGACTCGCAGTTTCCTTTTCGCGATTGCAGGTTGATCACTCCCTTTCGAAACCATTTGCATACTCATGGGCATAATGATCTTTCACGCGCTCAAGAAAGTCTGATCCTTTTCCTTTCACGGCATTAGCATTTCTTCTTTTTAAGGGCACACCACCAAAGGCCCGGGTTTCTCAACTGCGTTGCGCAGGAGGTTAAAGTCCATACCGGTGAGAAAGAATTCGTCTTCCATGCTATGTCATGTCGTCGTCAGATGCCAAAGCGCAACAATCCGGCTAGCACGAAGATGGAATGAAGAGACAGAGTATTCAAATGCGTGGGTTCCTGGTCAATTTCCTGAACAACTCCGATTGGTCAATTTCCCGAACAGCAATTCCGATTGGTCAGTAGTCCGATGTTGCATAACAGCGACCGCACGGGCAACCTGCCCGGCCCCAGTTGTAGTTCGGAGACAGCAGTTTCCTTTGTATCTTCGATAGAGGCACTCCCAAATACGTTTATCCGTCCTTGTTAATTTTTTCCATTGTGAACACATAGCCCTCAAGAATAAGATTCTTTCCCTTCTTGCTCATCATAAGTTTCCATGTTTTCACAACGACCAATGACTGACCACTTAATGGCCTAAGCACCTGACTTCTCCAGGCATACTTACATTATCGATCTTGATGGATGACTTGTCAATCGTCTCATCTTTGGTGGCTGAAAGGATTAACCTACAACCACTTCTGTTCCTTTTCTTTCACCTTTCCCCAGAGAATTTTTCATCAGTGATCTGGCATTGTATCGCTAGTGATGTTCCCAATGAGAACCAAGTTTCCTTAGGATGGAGGCAAATAAATCGATGGCTTCCTCCCATCCAGAATGAGATTAGCGAATTTACCCCATCCTTCCGTTCGCTAAGAAACTCTCTCTTTAATTCCGGCTCGTTGGGGAGCGTCTGGTATGAGGGGGATACGACCACAGAGAATTATTATAGCATGAGGGTGCCGAGAGATGTACTCTGGAAACTTTTTTATGGGTAACAAATCCGTTGCAAGCAAAAACTTTTTATGCATATCCGCCAGGGTCGTATTAAAGTTATGGGGAGCCTAAGGCAAACGGAAGGATAGGGCCTAAGTATGAATTACATCCCCGACAGCACACAACGTTAGGCCAACATTGGCTGCGGGTGGGGGAGCTTGGGCCTAATCGCAGTGGGCTGCCCCTATAGACCCAACATCGGCGCTAGGACAGCTGCCAACATGTCATGTCTCGGGATGAGACATCTATCTTAGTTATTTGAACAATAAGCAGGTATGTAGTCACTATTACATCAAAAGCTTTAAGATGTGATCCTCCGAGTCTAACTGGACAAGCACTTCCATAGCGGATGAAGGGCCTAACGGATGAGTGAAATCACAATGAGGCTCAAATCCTTTTATGGAAAGTGAAGGCCTCAAAAGATGACAATCGAAGGAAGTACTTCCAGCCAGACCGAGAGAGACTCGGTGGCAAGGTAGGGGAGCTGAACAATTACATACGTAAATACCATCTCAATCGAAACCTCCTTTCATCCTTTGAATGCCATGGCGCACGTCGGCATTTGACGTTGGCCCAACGTGGGGCCGCGGGACAAACCTACAAGGGACCAACGTTGGCCTCACATCGCAAGTGTTGAATTCCTGCATAGGCCCAACGTAGGTGTGCTGCCGGGGATATTGCAAAAAAAAAAATGGAATGGAGGGCCTAAAGTAGGGCCTAAGGCTAAAGCCTATGGGTTAATACGGCCCTGATATTCACCCATCCATCCGTCTGTATGTTCGATTGCATTCGTCCCAGTAACGCCTGACCTTAGAGCCACCATCGGAGAATTCATCATTCGGGAATTAACATTTCGGGGAACTGATCAGTCAGGAATTTGCTGTTTGGGAAGTTATCCAGTCGGAGAATTAGCTATTCGGGGAATTGACCAGACACCAATGCGTGTACAATGCAGCCAAAAAGGCGCTACACTGCGTGTCATGCGTCCATGCCTGCATGTAAGCAGACGCACGCATGCACACGCATGTCCACTTACATAACGAAAAGGTTACAAAACGAAAGGTTTGCGGGTAGAATTGGGGTGAGCTCGATTGAAAACGTTAGCCCTGCGTTTTGTGAAGTTACGGGACACGCGTGCGGACATGCGTGTGCACGTGGGCGTCTACCTACCTGCCCAAGCATTGACGCAAAGGACGCATGACACGCTAAGTTCGAAACGACCTTAATGCTCAACTTGCTCAACAAGAGGAACTCCTCTCCAAGAAACGTAGTGGACCTGAATGCGCAATAGCCTTGGGAGGACTCGCAAAAAAAAAACGACAAGAAAAAGCTTTATCTTGTATCAATCACCTAGCTTGTTGTTCGCCTCACACGGACTAGTGGGCGCCTTAACTCAGTGACTCCTCCTTTCTCGCTCTCACTGTGATAAGGCCCTTTTCCTCGTCCCTTCCAAGCCCTGAAATATCGCACCATTCGGTTCTGTGCCTAAGGCACTGACACACGAGGCAAGTTCTTGCGAACAAGTTCCCAGGCTTAAAAGGAGCAAGTGAGAGTGTTCCCAAAGCAAGTCGACGCAAGCATCCGCTGATAGGCGTGAAAAGAGCAAAAACTCGCGCCTGATAAAAGGAGGCAGCACGATAGACGGAAGTTGCACGGCAGGAGTCCCCCATGCCAATATCTCAGGCTGCAATCCAGACATCGCTTCAGTTACCACCTAGTGCTCCATCCATGTACAAAGGACCCAATGCATAATGGAACAGGAACTTAGAAGCACAGCGGGGAATGAGAAAACGGGAGGTTGGAGCAGGGAGGAAATGGCTCCGAAGAGCCTTTCGCTCCACCGTTTGCAGACCCCTTGCTGTAAGGGGTTTCACGGTAACCTTGGGTTTCGCCCACATCTGCTGGCACAGCGTTCAACTATCTCAGATGGCCAAAAAATCCTGCCGGCGGGTGTTTCAGGCTCCGCTGCCCCAAGTGTCATTGACCTGAACTTTTTCTTAAAATAATTGCCGTAGACTCCAGGCTAATGGTACAGAATTCCTGCACGTGAGAAGCTTAAATCCCCGCATGAAACCTCAGGGGCCACGCATATAATTAGGCCGATGATTGTATTGTTGATCGGATAAATGATAGAGGAATTTGGGGCTGTCAGTACAGGATCTGCTGGAACATTCTAATCAGTGCCCTTCCAGAATGTTCTCATCCACAGTTCACGATATCCTCAAGGGCTTCTCAATGGCAAAGGCACACGCCTGGATATATTGAAGTGGCACGAAAGAACTGACAACTCTGCGCTCTACAATGATGGCCTACAACAGCCCACCAAGTCAACTGTTGCGTGGCAAATAGTACTTGAGCATTTTGCATGTACTCTTTGACAAACCTGTTTCGACGGATGTCACGAGCATCACGACGGAAAACTTGTAAACTCGAATTCTGATGTGTCGAATGTTCGCTCGCCGTGAAGCTGGTCCCGGCTGAATTACGTAGTTGAATATTACGCTTTACTCCTCGTATTTCCTGATATCAATCAAATATCAGTGCACATAACAGCTTATAGCGCTCTCAACCTCTTGCATCCACAAGTTGGGACAGGTTGAGGACAGCACAAGAACATGAAAGAGGCTCTCTTGAGACGCAAAGTTCGCGAGAGCATCATTCCTGTATCGGAAACACTGCGTAATAGCTTGCAAAGGAACTTGTGGATAATTTCAATGTGCATTTGAGTTGGCTTGAACATTTCAAGCCCCATCATGATTTTGTGTTCATATGAATTTGCTGAGAGAATGCTGCAAATTCCAAGTTAGAATGTGAACGTTGAATCAAGAAGAAATTTTTCGTGTTCTGGGTTTCTGGAAGTCGGAAGATACATTCGTTGACAAACCAGGCTAGTTCTTCAGGATGACGACAAAGAAAACCTTGATATTTCTCAGTGATTCTTATTTCGGGGAGATAAAAGAGCACGGACAGATTCACAGTACTCATTGGTGTAAACATGGATGAGTCAGGAAAACTTCCACCATCGGTGATTGGAAAATCTGCAAAGCCATGTTGTCCCAGGAAAGTGTTTCTCTCTATACATTACAAGTCATCAAAGGTAACTTAGATGATGTCAGCAATCTACACTGAGCAGAAGATGCAATTGGAAGACACAATGTTGAAACAGAAATGAAAAATTCTGGTCATCATTGACAACTGCCTGAGTCTAAAGCAGCACATCTAATACTTCTCCCTCCTAATACAACCTCCAAACTTCAACCCATGGTGATGGGAGTGATCCACAATCGCAAGGTGCATTACAGGTAACAACTTATCCAAAGTGACACCTCTGCCATTGATCAGAAGAGTGAAATGTGAGTCCAGGCTTCTACTATGAGAAATTGTTTCAGGAGAGCAGGATTTGTGAGCAAAAATGAAAAGAAAGAAAGCTGAGGAAGTAATTAATTAATTAATAATTCATGAGAAAGCTGAGGAAGTAGAATCCACATTACATGTTCTACAGTGCTATATGGCTCAAATCATGAACTATGAGGTGATTTCAGCAACTTCAGCAATTGTGGAATTATAAGATTTAATTCCTAATGACTGAAAGAATCAATCAGATGCATATACAAATGCTCCAATGAGAATCTTATGTCAGGTGGCTGGTGCCATGTGCCATGATAAAATGTACAGGACATGTTTAAAAAAAAAGACCAATGACTTTTAACGTAAATATCTCCTCATGCTGGAGCTATTTTTTTTTCTAAACATTCACTTTGCATATATAAGTAATGACCAGGAAGGACAAAGCTCCAGTGTTTCCTTCAATCCACTACCAGCAGGTGCTCTTATCTATTTTCAATATCTAACTTCTTTTCAATAATTGTTAGTATTGCTTTGGCCAAGCAAATTCAGATGATTCATTTGGAAACATACCCATGTAGGCATAATGAAAAGTCTTGTGAAAATAGTTCTAGTGTGAGTGGAGATATTTAGGTCAGAAGTCATTGCTCTATTTTTTTTTTTGCCCTACCCTGTAGATTGCTGCCATCTGTGAGAGCCTTCAGATTAAGCAGCTGTTTCACCAGGTTGATAAATTCCAAGTCCAACAGTCTGGACACATCTGCCACATGCCCTCTAGTTCAAGATGACCAGTCAGTAGATCTCGTACAAGGTGGAAAAACTGTGCAAAAGGTTTTCTGATAACACCAATAAACTTGCTTTAGAGAAATGTGTTGCCATCATTTATTTATTATCTATCTGTGAAGGTCATCTTTCCGAAGTGAAGCTTAGTTTTGCTTTGAATTCAGATGGTAGGCCAGATTTGGCCTATCAAGTGGCCTCCCAGGTTGCTGGACCTGATTCCACTCAACTTCTGGCTGAGTGGTTCCATTTGAAGACCAGATACATGCCAGAAATTCACGCACGATCAATAAACTGATGCAATGCATTACTGAGAAGATTGCTGGAGTTGCCTTTTGATGACGGCTTCCATGATTGAGCTTGATGGTGCTCAATATCGTGGCAAGATTTCCTTCACAGATAGACTAGAGATAAACACTGGTGATGCGTTCCACTAAAGAAAGTTCATCAGCATTATCAGAAAACTTTTTGGAGCAACAAAAATTAATTGAAAATGACTGCAAATAGGGCATCCTTTCTACCCTAAATCTCAATTTTATGTTGAGAAATGTTGCTTTCACTTTGTGCTTATTCATCCCATTTTCTATTAGCATTTAATGAAAATTTTCATATTGTTTGGTCAATTAAAGGAGGCTCTTTAACACATTGGCGACAATGCGTCCTGATGCCAGGATGCAGATTTTTTTTCACTCTTCACTTCTCACAATTCTTCTGCCTTTGATCAAATAAACCTATTTTAGGGAATGATATGTTGGTTAGGTTAGGAATTATTAATACTGGTATTTAAAATATGGTCATTATGTTCTGCCTGATTTTTTCTTTCNCTGGGACCATGCGTCCTGATGGCAGGACGCATTTTTTGACAAAGAAAAATGTGCGTGGTCCCACACAGCGGACAAGCAAAAATAGGCTGGTCGTCAACGTGTTAACATGCAACAAACCGTTTGCTAATTAAGGCATTGATGGCCGAGTTATAGCTGTCCAAAGTCGTCCAGTGACTTTTGACTCACCCTGTATTGCCCTTGTCCTTTCTAAACCAATAACATTTGTCAGTTTTACTTTCTGTGTTGATAGTGAGAAATAATGAAGCAGGTTAAATTGTGTAAATTATTATAACCAAGGTAACTTTTGCCCATACTTAGCCTCAGCACAAAATAGTGTTTCATACAACAGAAGTAAGTTTATGAAGGATAAATACATTTATTTTATGATGATGGCTAAAATGAAACCAGCGCAAACCTATCTTATGGTTGTCTAGTGCAGAATGAAATCATTGTTTATTTGTTTGTTTATTCCTCCTTCTTAACTAATTCCTCATGCACATAGAGACATTTGCCAATTCCTTTAAATCTGCTATATTCTGTCAGCAAAGTAAATTGTAAATTGCTGATATAGCCATTGATGCCCAGCCTTCTTAACCTCATCATTCTGAAAAATTAGAAGAGTCAGCACTGCATTTATTTCATGGAATTACATTCTGGTGAACTTGGCCCAATGAGTGCTGTGTCAATGCTTGCAAGGTCATATGTGCTCAATCATGTCTGAGGCCAATCACTTGTTAAAAATAAAAAAACCACAGCCTCCTGATGAAAGTCATGAAACACTTGAAATTCAGTCATTAGATATGACTGCAAATACTGACAGAAGCACATGTCCTTCCTTCAAGAACAAAAGGAAATTTTTTAAAGAAAACTCACCCATGCACCATCAGGATGCAAAACATTTGTGTTGAACAGAGACATATCACAATGCTCTTCATCAAAAGGCTCAAAATTCTGTGATATGTCAGGTTTTTCAGCATTTTGAACTGGTTCTTCCCAAGCTTCCTCCCCTAGATCATCAGAGCAGCACTTTAGCATTGCTTGCTTCTCCTCATAGAGGTTCCTCATTTCATACATCTTCTCTGTCAAGAGACTCTCAAGCCTGTCAATTTCATTCAAGAGAGCAAAGCATCTTGTACACAGTGTTCTTGAATCAAGTACACCAGCTGGAAGAGGGATGATGCAAGTGAGCTTCCACACAACTGGTTGATCAGATGTCAAAGTATAGGATGCACTTATGTGAATACACTGATCATCTGACAATCCACATATCACACATATTTCCTCCTTTGGTTTACCTGAGGGCTTGGACTGTTTTTTATCCATATCAGACTTTAAATTAAAAATATGAATTGAATTACCACATGCATCTGAAAGAAAAAATCAGGCAGAACATAATGACCATATTTTAAATACCAGTATTAATAATTCCTAACCTAACCAACATATCATTCCCTAAAATAGGTTTATTTGATCAAAGGCAGAAGAATTGTGAGAAGTGAAGAGTGAAAAAAAAGCAAGCTGCACCATCTAAACATGGCTTTGATCATGATTATGATGCAATACAATCTATATTCAACCTTGCAAACTAAAGAGAACAAATGCCACTCCATATGCCATTCCAGGACAAAGGACAAAATGCACACTCTGCCTTTCACACCTGCCAAAAATCTAAGACCTAAGCCTAGCAACCTAGCTATCCTCTAAAAATTAATCTTAGTGCAAAACTGATAATGCCCCTCATAGATGAAGGATGGCCTCCTCTACATTCACTTAGACCTGGATATGTAATGGCATGCTTTAGCTACAAAATCAAGGTGTTTCTTATTGATGCATTTCAGGACCAACATGAAAAGGTCAAAACGTCCCAAAGAACAAGCAAAAAAGTGTGCTACACAAGCCCACTGACGTGTTCACCTCAGCCAGTGAAGCAAAGGAAAGTTCATGCTTGCCTTACCAAAGAGGAAAAAGGGTGTGTTGTTCTCCCTTTTGGCCAATTTTTGGCCAATTCAAAGGAAATTCATACTTGGTATTGGCCAAACATTTCATTATCAAATTAGACGACAAAGGGAAACACCGCAGCCTCTGCCTCTTTGGCTATTTGGTAAGGCATGCACAGAATCCGTTTGCTTCACTGGCTGAAGCGAATGCATCAGCGGGCTTGTATGGCACACATTTTTACCTATTAAGTTGGAACTGGCATGAAACATGATATAAAGTATAAATTTCCTTAAAATTAGGTAATTACCTTCTTTACTTTATTCACATGCAGTCTTAAAATATTGCATTGATCTTATGAAAAGTACTGTCATTATTAGCAAATATGATTTGGCACAGTTTTTTTTTCAACACTGTGTAGGAATAGTGCTTTTATTGGGAATAAAGATGTCCTGTTCTTCAGTTTAATTCCTGTTCAGCTTCAGCTTAACTTTAGTTAACTAATTTATTATTTATTATATTATATTAGTTAATTGGCCATCTTAAGCTCAGGACACTCTCATTAATTAGTGATAACATGAAACTAGACTTAAAACTATAATTAAACTAGTAATTCCATATGAAGTCAACATAGCCTGACACCTGACTCCCTCGCTGATTTTGATAAAACGATGGGTTTCTTATATTCATTGAGAAATTAGTCCACACTCAATTTCAGCTCCTTATGTGGAGTAATTTTTGAAGCAGTGACTTCAATATCATTTTAAAAATTCTGATTTCCAGTCCAGTGGTTTTCACTCAAGTGCTTTTTAACCTTTTAAGCAGTTTTTTAAGTGGCAATTTATCATGTTCTGCGCTATTTATTTACGTATTAACACTTTCACACCCAGTCAGAAATGATTTCTGATGAGAGGATTTCTTCTCAGTAGCCTTAAGTGACATCTACCACAGTGGTTGTTTCGTGGGTGATCTGATGAGGGGGGGATCTTCTGGAAGTTGCCCTTCTCGGTTCTCCACTAGCCAGGGGGCTACAAATTCAATCCGAAAACAGTGTATTCCAGGACTCATACCCGGTCTAGGCACACGATGCAGGAGTGCGAATGGGGAAGTATGCTGGGAGACATATTGGAATACAAAATTCAACAGGGCGCCGTGCAGTCACCACGTGACTCAGATGCCTCTGACAAGTGACAAGTGAACTGTACTTGCCTCTAAAAAGACTGTCATTTTCTCGAATGTGAATGAATTCTTTGTTTTCCACTGAATGACGCCATGCAGACAAGTTATCATACAAGACTAACACATTCAAATACCAAGAGCGATGGGATTTCGAAATTCTCGATTTTATCAACCTCACGATATAGATGCAGCTATCAGGACGAATAAGAAAATTAATATGTCATATGTAAATAGCAGTAGCAGAAGCAATTGTTGGAATGGCCAATCTCAAGATCCCAGAACTTCATAGGCATAGAATTGACCTGCAAACAAGCAACCTTCTTGAAAACTTCCTCCTTGTGTCAGCGTAGGCCTATACCAGTGATTCTCTGGTAAGCTGCCAGCTTTTTAGAAAATATTAAATCAGGATAAGCCTATTGCTATTCTAGAATATCTTGCCATCATTCCCAAGATGATGCAAACTAGGTTAAGCTTAGGTCTGTCAAGATTCTTGTAGTTAACTTTCTAGCCGTCAGGATAGGTTCTAAAATGTTTCACTATTTTTACAGAAGAATTCAAACAAGATATGGATCAGGTTGGCTCTGAAGCTACATCAAGAGGAACTCAGGTAGCTGTCCAAGCCCAAGATCAGTTTCAGGGGTGAATTTCACTATATGCTAAAACTCAATCAACTTAAGCTTGTTTCTTCAATGATGTATATATAGATTTATATGCTTATTTTTTTAAATACAGAAATCAATACATGCCTGCCCATGAGCTGATGCTTGTCTGGACATGGGAATTCATAACATGTAAACATATTTTGAGATTCAGATCAAAATCAAGGAACCATAGAAAAGATGTTGCTGCAGACACAACTGATGACTAATAGGGAATGTTTAAGCATTCAATGACGCTCAATTAGGAAAAGACAGTTGGGAAAACATAAGCTCACATAACCAACAAGTTGTTGGACATGCTATTCAATTACAGAAATAATTAGAAGTAATTATTTGAAATAGAAATAATGAGAAGTATAGTTTGATATGAATTGCTCCAGCTTACTTACTCTTACTCTTAGCAGCATCGGTTTTAAAAAAATCCCACAGGTCAGGAGAGTTCTTGGAAAAACATATATAGGGTTACTTGGATTTTTGGGACACCCTGCAAATGCATAAATTGACCTCAAACATTATCATGCAAAGCCCTGCAAGTGGGTAACTTCCTGTCTTCAACATTGCATGTGATCATTTGTGAATTTTAGAATGTTATAAGGTTTCATAACACTTTAACTTATTGGTGTGAAATACAATGAAAATGGCAAAGCCAAAAGCAAGTATAAATCAAGTCCATACATTGTGCATATTTTCTCTATTTTTTTTGCCTATATGCCCATTTGTGTTTCACTATCATCACAGCTTCCCTATGGTCTCCATGGTGTGGCTGCAAAAAATTCTCAAAAAGAATCATGTTGAACTTGTCTAGTGCTTGACTGGATGTCTGAAAGTAAATTAAATCCATACCCATGTAGACCCATGACTTAAGATAACCCCATAGGCAGAAATCTGATGGTGTCAAGTCCTGGGAATGTGATGATGGAAAGTAGCTGGAGATGACTATCTACATTGAAGTGTATCTGTAACAGTTCTCTTACTTGACTTCACTACCTGCCCTCTCTGTGCTCCTGTTGGCATCATGATACATACTAGTCTGTATAGCAGGATCATTACCATATTTATAAGATCTTTCCCATAGCATTTCCGTTTAATATGCAATTTATGCAAGAGCGGTACCTGAGTGGTAAAATTTGGTAACTGCTGAAATTGATTCCCCATGTGTCACTTGTCATACCTGTTCAATGACACCACCCATGCCTTATAGCTTAAGCTCTGTAGTGCTCTGAAGTGGGATATATATTTTTTATAATCGCTGAAGAAAATCTTGCTCTGTGAAATGAGTCCATCTGTGTCTCACTTGTAAATTCATTCTTGCAGATAGATTTAGAAATATGTATGCAGAGCTGCCAGGACTAAGTCAGTACTCAAAACCACTTAAAGAGATATTGTAAGGCTGGTTTGTTTGTATCTCACTTGCCTAAAATCTATTCATTCATTTTCACTCTGGGACATTCTTTGATAATTTAATTATAAATAATTTTTGCAGCACTTTTCACTTGTGCGGAATCCTTAATAACCCCCTCCCCCTCCCCCAAATATGAGGGTTGGCCCAAATGTAACAGGAAATAATTTTTACATTCTTGATACTCACCACATATTATGCAACACTTCTACATGTCCAACATGACATTTACTTCCCTTATCATCATTACTGATTATTCATTTCTGCTACAGCGGGAATATCATTAACATGATGCCCTTGAAGAACTGTGCTAATGTGTTCCAAATCCATGGTTGCATCGCTTCTCACTTCTTGCACAGCCATGATACCATCTCAGAGATAGACATATACGGTAAAACGAAGAATTGTTCGGACCGTGAAGCTGGGATAGGATTGTAATTTGCTCGTCACGCCTTAATGGTACTACCTAGATAATTCATTATTTTTATCCGGCAGCACACTATGAGGAGGTATGAGTGTGATAAAGTATGATGACCATCGAAGCCTTATAGCTTTCAGTAATTTCTATTACGTGGGCATCCGAACTTAATGCGAAAAAATGAAGTTCGAACACGACGTAGTTTCGACACACCAGAGGTAAGGCGGAAATTGTTCATGGCATGCGTATTCCCTTGTAGCAGTGCTTATGTTGCCTAGTTTCCTGTGGAATAATAATTGATTACAAAATTAACAATACCACGCGGGAAGCGTATCTCAGGTGAGGTCGTTTCCGTGCGTTTTCTTGAATTTCTCCTGTCCGCGACATGACATTCATGTCTGCCCGATATTTCGAAATCGTTCTCAACGATCGAGGCCACCGCAAGTCTTTCGCTTAGTAACATGGTCGTCTTGGGTTAAGAAGAACATCTCTCTGATGTCGATCTCGCGAATGCGCATTTATTGACAATAAACGTCAGTGTCCGCACTTATGTGGTTTTACCCTAGTACATGTTTCAAATATGGATATTATGCATGCATAATTGCACACAGCCTGTTGGCATCTTAGCACATTGATTTCCATTTTTTTGTCCATTCGCAGATTTATAATTGTATTTGCTTTTGAACATCCACTGTGGGGAATGTACGCTGTGCGCGTTTGATTCTATTGCACTGTGTCCTCTAATTGATGATGTTGTCTATCGGTACAGATGCTTATACTCACTTCCCTGAAGTAAAGATGCCACATCATATTGGGTTGCTGAAGAAAAAAATTATTCCCCGTTACTTTTGGAACCCTATACTTTCCTGTGCTGAGACGAATTCATACATACCTCGTTTGCTATGATCTCATTGCTTCATTGCAAGGAATTTTCAGTATTGACAGTCCCAGATCAGTACAACCCCCAGCAAAAGCACCTTTAAAAAAAATTAATAGGCACCACACATCTTAAAGTCGGCTCCATACATTCGATGGACGCTGCGAGGATTGGGGCGGGGGCGGCAGGAAAAATTGTCGTCTGCAGGTGCGAGACATCCGAGATGGTTCCAAGTTTTTATATTCACATATCTTTGCCTTGCCGTCAGAAGTGCAGCTATAAAAACCGCCAAAGAAACCCTTTCCAAGGACGAGACGAGTTTATCGCTGCCTCATTCGTCTTAATCGGTTCAGAAGTTCTTGCTGCAGGCGGAACTGTTCGCTTCGTGGAAAGGGGAATCTTAAAGGACATTTCTGAACGTTGTGGAGTTGAAAATGAAGTCCACTAAAGTTTGAAATTCCCGATTTAGATTTTTTTTGGGTTTGGGCGGGAAGTCGTATGGGGAAGGCTGCAGTTTTTTTATAATGAGGCGCTATCATGCTTTGTAATTAGTGGGCGGATTAATACGATACAAAAATTGTTCTGACATGCTGATCAAATTTGACTTGCAAACGAGCAAATATGACCATATTTCATGTGAATGTTGCTCGCAGGTAAAAAAAAAAAAAAAAAAAAGAAAAAAGTCTGGAACGGACCTGAACGCGAGAGAAAAAGAAACCGCAAGTGTGGTGACCGGATTTTTCCGAAGGAAACCCGAGGCGTTTTCGTGGTGATTCCATTCGACGACGTGACTGATGAGCTGCTGGGCGACAGAAACCGAGAAGAAAAAACCCGGGACGCTAAAATCGACACGTCTGGTCACCTTACCTTGAGGGCAAAATATGAATTAAAAAAAAAAATTATTTCCAACGTTCCCGCCCACTCCAATCGGAGATGACGGTGTACGAATTCCTGCGGAAAATGCGACCAATTCAGACTGATCCTTCCGTATAAGGCCGAAATATGATCTAACAAGGGCTAGTTTCTCATTGGCGTCGGGAACAGATCCAGCAGATGTGACTGCATGTGCGACGAAGCATTAAAGAAAAAAGATATTCCACATAAGGCCGCCCACCACGTCTAATGCAACAAGGCAGCAGGTTGGAAGTGGCATTTGGCTGTCGCAATAGGCTTTCCTCGTGTCGATTGGACTTTTCTTGAAGTTTAGCATCTGGCTCTCGTTTCGATTTCTCTGATGGACCTTTAGACTTTGCCGGGGAGGAATTTATTGAATACGAATTTTCTTCTAAATGTCAAATTTCCCTGTTCACATTTTATTCGGAAAAGTCATGATTCGGCCATCGCTCTTAGTCGCAGAACGATCTACGAAGTATTATCCTATTCCCGATCGAGCAGGGCTGTTGCATTATGCCTACACGATCTGCATATTTGAAAGAGAGCAACGTCTGAGAACTTGCTGGTTCCGGAAGTTCCAAAAGGTGGCTGACTCGATCTCCATCGTCGCGCAACTTTCTGCTTTTACCGTGGCGTTTTCGCCCTTTGCCGTGACCTAGTTGGAAGCTGTCCACCGCAAAGACCGAGGAAATCGACCCGATCACGAGTCATTTGGGTTTGGAACGGATCGCGACCCGGGCCAAGTCGGCGCGGTTACGAATCGAATTAGTTCGTGTTCGTTCGTTGGCAGAAAGCCTATGAAAATGTTAGTCCTCGCGAGGGGAGGAAATGACCCGAGCGGCGCGCGGAACCTCCCCCGAATGACGCTCGAGAGGGCGTCGCGGAGGTTAAAGCACGGAGTGGGCAGACGGTTTGGCGCTTTGCGGTTCGAGCGGAACGGGTCTTCGTGGGACTGACCCCGCCGATGTCTCTCCGAAAGCCACACCACGTTCCATTCGCACGGGTGTGAGTGGAGCGTGGTGTGGCTTCCAGCCGTATTTAGTGGAGGAGTCGGCAGACATCGCGATGCGCTTGCAGCGCAGGAATAGGAAGAAAAAAGAGGGGATCCGGAACGACTTATGTGCAACGTCATACCATGAAATGACTGGAAGAACGGCCAGGAAAAAAAAGGGAATCCGTGGGAGGTGTGATGAAACAGGAAGAGAGAGGGCAAGGAAGAGGGGCGAAAAAAATCTCTTCAAACGTACGACTTCTGTTTTTACTCTCCTCCTGTTGGAAGGAAACGGTAAAAAGGAGTTTGTCGACGGGTATAGGGTCTATTCCCGTCCGTTTGGCACGCGTCCTGCACTCGTTTGGGCGAATCCAATGCGCACTCTATGGAAGCTTCAGAAGCATCCCAGTGCTTATGTGTGCGCAGTAATTGTGCAATAAGGCGATCGAGTGCTTTGTTGGCGCGCCCTTGCGCCCCGTGTCCTCGATGAAGGCGAGTCCGAGGCAGCAGGACGCTGCTTGTCGATGGGGAATGTGAGTTTCCCGCCTTTGATGTTCCCCCTTAATTTTTTTGCAAGTCTTGGAAATGAATTCCTCGGGGCGTCGCTAGGACTACGATCCAAATATCAATATGTCAAAGAGCTGACTCGTTTTCTTCCTATGTGCTGAGAAGCGAAAGTAAATATCCTCTGGGTGTTCGGCGATATTTGTAACCTGGACCTCTTCGTGGTCCCCGCGAATTCAGCAAAACCGCTCATAAGTCTCGTATTTCGCATTCTCTCATCAGGTAGTGGAGAAGTGGACGGATGTTAAGTCACATTGCATTGCATAGAGCAGTGTATAACCCCCGTACCATGAACCATTCGTATACGTTCCAGCCCCTGCCGCACCCAAGGCGGCAGAACCTCCTAAATGCACGCGACGAGGGAGACACCGAGAAGACGATGACATCCGCCTCCTTGTCGACCCACACCCGCCTCTCCTCCCTCGCAGCCAGTCTGTGACGTCGCCCGATCGTCACGATGCCCATCCGGACGTTCGGGGAGGTGACCAGGTGAGTGTTTTTTTTATTATCCTTTATTCATTTTCCCCCCTTTTTCCCGTGTCACTCAGGCATGCATGCAACGTGAGCGAGTCGGGAGACTGACGTCCAGCGCCCGACGCGACCGAACACAAACAACCCCTAGATTTTCCACCGGACGAGATAAGAATCTAAATTGAATCATTATGGTGATTGGATTTGCTCTCGCTGGGCGATCTCGCTGGCCGGCTGCCAAGCGGGAAAGGGTGGCTAACGAGAGAGAGGTTATGGCAACCCGTCCGGGGATCGACTTCACAACTGGGGCGCACGTCGCATCCATGACTCCTCCCCGCTCTTTCGTCTAAGGATCGAACGGCTACGATCGTCTCGCGATAGCCGACAGGCATTCAGCCGCGAGCTCAGCAAGATCCGTCGACGCGGGTCTCTCGCGGGTCTCTCGCGGGTACCTCACGGGTCTCTCACGGGTCTCTCACGGCTATGCGCTCCTCGCATCTGCACGTTGGACTCGCTCTCGCTTTCAACTGATGCTTTTTCTTTGCGATTGGTTTATTCGTCATTAGATGAGTGGCTTCTCTGATCGTCCATTCCCTCGGATTTGTAGGTCGTGCAAGGTTCGTCTCACGAGCATTTCATTTCCGAGAAAAGATAGCCCTAGGGCGTGCCATCAAGAGCCTCATCTTGAGTTCGGATTCACATTCCGAACAAATCGACGCATAAAATCGGATAACTTCGTGCTGGGAGTGTCCATCCGGGGAGAGGAGGGGAGGGGAGGGGACGGGAGGGGACGTCATCTAGTTCCGCGACTGTTGTCATCGGATTCCTCGTTTTAATTCAACCTTGAATTTTTTTTTGGAGTGTTCCTGGAGGCGCGACGTAACGATGACGTCACGTGCCCACACCCATGTCTCGTCAACGATCCATTCATTCTGTGATGATGACGCGGCATGTACAGGGTGTCTATAAAGTGACTATCTATGGGCAACTTTTAAAATTATGATTGTACCTCATGTAGCCATTTATTTATTTCCTTTGTAGACCATCTGTCGACCTCAGAATGTGAAGTCTTGCCTCGTTTCGTTTTGGTGTGAATCATAAACCATTTCTCCTAACCTCGTTTGAATGTGAGCAAGCCGGCACAGTGCTTCAAGAGCGGCCTTCAGTAGCCAGCCGTGCAAAACAAAAGTTCAATGGGCATGTTCCTCGACGTTCCAGTTGTGAAACGAGCGGATATTGAAGCATTCTGCGATGATTCACGTTTCTCTCGAAAGAAAGAGGACCCAATAATGCATCTCCGAGGGAACGTGCACCCGGTTGCAACTTTTAAGGAATACGGAGGTTCCTCAGCCCTCAGGGTATCCAAACAAGGGTCAGAAAAATTAACTTCTACAAAAAAAGTGGAAGGAGGAAAGATATTGCAGCATTCCGAGGCCTGCAGATAACAGAGTCTACACGCACAAAATAAACGGCTCCTTCAATCTCAAGCATGAAGCTGTCCATAGATGTCACTTTATGGTGGTGTGGTGGCATCCCTCACACCACTCGGTGTGGTGACATCCCTCTGGCGGCGCGTCTCTTCGGGCTGCCACCCGAGAGGTCTCGAACGAATTACCGTCTCGTCAATAACGGTGACGTGTCCTCCTCTTGCTGATCCTCAGAAAGATTGCGTAAATAAACTTTTGAATAGGGTGTCATTGGCCAGACACGAGATGACGCTATGGGGGGGTGCGATGGGTTTATAAAGGTTTATAAAACAATTTCGGTCTGTTTATTATAGCAGTCTGGTCGTGCCTGTCGAATCGCCCGTTGCTCCTCGACTCCGTGAGTGTGGGTCATTTCCGCGGATTCCCCGCGTTTTTCCCGCGTTTCTGTTTTCCGCCGAGGCTCGCGACGTTCCTTTATCTGCTCGTGCCCTGGGCCGTTAATTAGCATGACAGAGATTAATCGGTGTGGATGGGGACTGCTGGGAGACCTTGGCTCCCCCATATGGGGGATCGGGGGGGAGGGGGCAAGGGGCGGGGGAGGGGGGGGGGGGGGGAAAAAACAAAAAAGGAGATTCTTATCTCGTCCGGTGGAAAATCTAGGGGTTGTTTGTGTTCGGTCGCGTCGGGCGCTGGACGTCAGTCTCCCGACTCGCTCACGTTGCATGCATGCCTGAGTGACACGGGAAAAAGGGGGGAAGAAACGAAGAAGGTATTGAAATGGATGCTACACGCGCGTCGTCGGTCCTCGCTCCTGAGGGGGAGGAGAAATCTGAGGAGGTGGGCCCGGCTCTTGCTTCTTGCCTGTGGGTGGACAGTTGACGCGGCAATTCCGATTCAAATCAATGCAAAGTGGTGCATTGTGGGACGTATAAAGGAGACGTGCTCTAAGGGATGTTCTTTTTAAGCTTGCCTCTCACGCAGCTGTGCGTGGGCTTCGTTCCTTTCCGTCGTTCTGTCTCCGTGGCCGTCTCGCGGGTCCCGAATGGTTCTATCGAGTGCCACCTGTTCGTGTGCCCGTGGCACGGCGTCGTAAATCATCGGCTCGGCGTTGAAGTATTTATGGCTTTCGAGTCGAGCAATCTCTGTCGGAGGCTGAGACATGTTGCAAGCCTTTTATTTCACAGGCGGCACTTTTACATCGCCTGGGAATGGATATCCGACTCACAAAGGATTTCCTGCGAACCAATTAAGCATCCCACGCACTTCTTTGTTTCCGTTCTTCGTCAGATGCTCGGGTTGTGGGCTGGAAAGCATTTGCATCGGTATTTCACGGCGTCCGTGGGCGAGGTGCCATCGATAGCGGTCTATCCTTGAAGGGAGGGGGCCCACGGGGAAGGTGCGGGGGGGGGGGGGCGCGTTCGTCGCATGTGGACGTTTTCCATCAAACTTCTTTCCGTGGAGTAAAATTTACACGAGGAATTTAGCTGCCTGAATTTACTGTGACACTCGAGGAGAGAGCTGCGTGATTTACTTTTGGGCAACCGACTATTAACATTCCTTTCACTAAAAAAAAAAACTGCTCCCTCCGCCTTCTCGAGCTGGTGTGGTTCCTCGTTTTTTATTCTAATGGTCTTCAACTTTCAACGACGGCAACGTGTGTACTAAATGGAAGCTGAGTGCAGGCAGTTTTGAGATGGTTATTTTATTCTTTAAATACATTTTGTCTCGCGAGAAAATTCAAAACTGAAATCCCCCGACACGAACAAAAATTTATATTCACCATCAGTGATCATTAAGATGGAAGAAGACGTGCAGCCCACTTTCGAGTGCACGGCCCTTCTAGGTCAGAAATGATTGGAGCGCCGACGACGCGCGCGTTACGAAAGCATCGGATGGACGCGGCCTTTTGTTCGAAGGGGTTAATCTTGGCGGAGTGTTGAGGTCGAGGGGTGGTGGTGGTGACAGCTCGAGGGGCCAGAAGATCCCAAAAGGTCTCCGTAGGTGTGGCCCGGAAAGCAGTGTGCGGAAGGCCGTCGTGCGTGGCTATCGCGTAGGATGCCCCAACCCACTTGATGGGCTTTCCCTCTCTCTCTCTCTCTCTCATTTCCCTTCTATCCTCTTCGCATCGCGTGCGGCGGGACTGCGGTTCTCGTTCCGGCCGCTGGTGATCGTGGCCGCTCTGTAGGTTCGCCGTTCTTGGGGGCTGGGGACCGCTGTCGGTGCGGCGATGGTAAGTCACCTTGATTATCCGATCGCAGTGATTTCGCGATTCCTTCAATCTGTCGGAGTTTCGGGGCGACGCCGCGTTGGTTTCATCTGCAAGCGGAGGAAAGGTCGGATTTTGCATCCGATACGCATTCCTCTACCCTTTCATGCCATTCTGGCGCATTTGGCGCGGTACTTGTCTGCTATACGCCCATTCCTCCTGGGTCTTTCGCATGCGCACGAATTCGCTATCATATCCTACCTACTGCCAGTTCCAAGTGAAATAATTTTCCTATATAGTCGTCTTGCCAGCTGACCCACAAGTCTCTCCCACTTGTTCCACACCCCCAGGTACCATTTTGGCAGGTCATCTATGCCACTCACGCCATTCTCTTCTCCCGAGTCTCGGGCTGGTGTTTTCATCGTCTCTTTCGTGATCGATACCGTCCTCGTCGCGTTGCATTTCATCTACCAGGCAGAAAGTGTAAAAACTAGTCGCCACCCTTTTCACACCCAACTGACCCGTGACATAGGTTAATTTTCTCTCTCTTTGGCCGTGGACTTAAACAAATTGTGAGCCACGCATATTTCCACAAGGAAAGGGGGAAAAAAAATTAGGCAAGGGAGGGATCTAATTTGTCGAACTTAACGGACATTCTTTTCTTATAAATATGCAGATTGTGATACTGTATAATCAGTGGAACCAGTCTTCGGAGCCCGAAGGAAGTCGGCACACTAGGAATTAAGCCAGCCCCGTTGTAGGTTTTGCTATTCATTCCAGTAGTCTGAAGTTTTTATTCCATCCTTTTCGAACGCACGTCTTTATGCACTTTCGAAGCATGATACCATATGGCCGTGCGTGTAACTGCCCTGATGTTGGCAATGGCTTCACGGTCTCGCGTCAGTCGCACTTTCTTGTTGCGTGCACACAACCCTTCTATTTGCGCCTGCTTTGTGCTAGCGGATTTTGCAGGGATCGAAATCGGCACTTGGAATTCCAGGTGCGTGTTGCCTTAGTCGGCCCTGCCGTGCGGGGATCGGTATCGCAGATACCACTCTACAGGTTCCCGCCCATCGATCGGCCTTCTATTTAGGGCGAAAAATTAGTAATACTGATACGTGCCTCCATGTGATCGATAGGGTCGTTCGGTGGTGGGTTCCCCATGCGTTTGTTTGGTCGCCGTGACGACGTGGGAGGGAAATGGAGGCGTTTTCACGTGGGTTACCCCAGCCTCAGCGTCGCCATCCATTCCAGTCTTCGTGGACTTTTTCCTCCCATGGCCTTTCTAAGGGATCAGGTGGGACAACCCCCGGTTGTCGATGGGGAAGCCCTAGATAGCCACGGGGTGATATCAATTCCATGCGAGCCATCAATTCGAGGTTTTCGAGGCCACGCCCTGCCGATATCCAACAGATTAATATATGAAGACATTCGTAATAGCTCATCCTTGAGATAACGACGGGCGTCTACGTTCATTCCCGACCCTGTATACTCCACTCAATTAGGAGCCACAGATTTCTTTTTTTTTTCGTCGTGCGTTTAATACGTCTCCGAAGACGTGTTATACGCATACACACATCTGTTCTGTTTTATTCGTTCTCGACTGGTTCCGTTTTCATAGAGCAAGAAAGTATCTTTCAATCGCAATGTGCGTGACTTATGGCACGGAGTCTGAAAGCAGATTGAGTGCAGTATGCCGCCTGCTGCTGCTGTGCAGCCTGTGCTCGAGCTTTGAGCGAGCAGCCTTGATTGCATCGCACTTCTTTGCCAGAAGGTCATGTATCACCCTCGACGAGACTCGGACCATGAAACGTGAGGCGAAGCCTTGAATAGGCGACTGTTGGAGATGACTGCTTGTTCGGTTATATGCTGACGCTTCTCCCTTTACTGTATGACGTGTGCTCAGTGCGTGCTCGCGATGAGATTGTTGCTGTATTGCTCTTCGCTGCCGCTCCGAAACGGGTCCGAAGCGCAAAGTCGACGATTGTGGCAGCACGTGCTTTTCTGTTTGCAGCAAAAAAGAAAATAAAAATGTTCTAGACCCTGGGATTTCACCAAAGGTGTTTTTCCTGTTTATTGTTTCTGTGCAGTGAGCTGTACAGTGCTTGGTTCGAGACGGTGAAGACAGAGGATCACGTGCCGAGCCGTCTGGCGCGGGACCTTTTCCATCAGGCGGAGCTTTTCCCCTCTGTTTCGCAAGGTGAGAGGGACATTCTTCCCCCCGTGTATCAGGGGAAAATCGGCAGCCTGATCTCGCATGGCCCGCTTGCATGCATGCTGCAGTGGCTTCGACGCAGGAACGAACATGAGTTACCGGGTGGCTTGCGGTAAATGAATGGAAATACCGCGAGTTTTCGGAGATTTGGAAACATGATTTTTCTCATAAATGTTGGATGATATCTCTGTATAAAATCTGGCTTGCAAGAATATGTCATGCTGAGTGGTTCATGTGAACTATAAAGCAATATTGTATTCAGTTTCGATCGGGAACAATTTAAAAATTGCCACGTTGAAAACCGAAAGTGACTTCAATACAACCCATCAATCACATGGTATTTTATTTGTTTCTGAAGGAAAGGTTGAAATGAAATGCCTCAGTAGTCTCAAAATTCACATGCTTATAAGTTAAATGTGGAAGTTTGCGCTTCTTAGTTTGTCTTAGTGTTACTACTGGATTGCTGCTATTTTGTGCTAGTATTAATGACAGAGTGACTGAAAAATTACAACAGTAATCTCTATCTCTTTTTATAAATGGAACTAATCCCAGGAAATGTACTAACTACTATTTAGCTTAATTAATTAGAACTCTTGTGTAGTGACAGGTCACAGGAATATGGTGTGGAAATAGAAATTAACTGAAATTTTAACTCTGGTGTTGGTATTATTTATGTACATTTTGGAAACGCCTAGACATATACCCTGCAGCAAGCAACTCGGACTTGACAGGGAACACCTTAACGCATGCCTTCTCTCAGAGATATGGCTAGGGATGCTTCTTATAAACATTGCCCTACCAAGTAGGCCTACCATAACAACCATTGGATGAACTTTCCAAAATTGTAGTCTTGGGGAGAACATCTGTCCAGATGTTCTGGTTCTCGTGATATGGTTTGTACCCAATAAGACTTAAATTGGGGTGACGTGTGGGATGTTAACACCTGGGAAAAATGAACTCCCTGACTGCAGCTCACACAGATAAGGCAGTGAGTACATTAAATACTGAGTGTGCTATCCAGTTCCCTCCCACCATGCATGGGACAATTGACATCCAGCCAGGAGCACTCCTGTCAAATATGCAGGTGTGAAAGTTGCTAATGTCAATATTGGTTGATTAAAGAAAAAATTAATCCTTTCAAGAAAGTTTCAACCTTCATGTTTTTCTGCATTCACCCAAGGAAGTGTATTCTATCTTTCAAGCATGAATCTTGGTTCAATAACCTATGATTTAAGCTAGAGTTTATCTACCAATTTTGATATGAAAAATAATTGCAGTGGTTTTAGCAGCACAAGGGTAGGCAACTGTCAATCACCACCCAAGTGCATTGATCTTTCTCAATTTGACAATTTATAATAATAATTATTGCTTACTGTTTAAGGATACTTCTATGCTATATGATTCTTTTTAGAGCAAAATCTAGTGATTGTCTTCCTAACTGAGTGTGTGGTCTTGTGAAAAAGTCAAAGCCCAAAAAATTGTCTCTGCAACCTTTCATGATATTTAGGATAATTGTCTAATTTATGGCTGAGGGTCATTACATTGCATTATGTTAATCTGTAAAAATAAAATGAATTTTGGTGTTCCTGGATTTTTGGGCATGTTCATATGATTTTTCAAAACTAATATAAGTTATGGTAGATATTGATCTTCCTCTATATGGGGAAGATTGATACTCCCTGACCAGCTTACCTTGGGAGCTTCTGTAGCATAGCCTTATGTCAGGAACAAGAAAAAGTATGAGAGGCTTGTAGTTGAATACTCTAAGATATTCTTAGATACAAAGTAAACCTTACTCTTGGAGTTTCAGAAAAATGGCAGTGAAAAAACAAGGTGCCCATTACCCTATTCAGTTGGTAGGAAAATACTTGTTAACCACCCTATGGAGTAGAATTTTTATTCTTTCCAGTGCTAATACCAGTATTTGAACCTTCATCTGTTTTGCCAGGCTACAATATGGTGAATTGCATGCTGCATTATTGACTAGCATTGCAGATTGTTGTGAGGCTTTAAAGGACTCTAGTGTATGCTTGAAATACCTGTGTCTTTTCTTTATTACAGTCTATGAAATGCTGCACTGTGCTCAAGAATGTTCAGGAAGAGAGAGTCCCAATATCCTCACATTTGGAGAATTTTGCTGCTTTGCTACGGAATTAAAGCGTTGTTATGATCACGAGTGAGTGTGTCTAATTTACACTTTGATTAAGGCAAGCCAGTCAAAAGTTTTTTTTGGTCAAAAAAACATTTACCACCAACAATTTGTTCTTAATTCAAAATCAGGGCATCTAAACTTGGGTACTGTACCTTATCCAGATTTCAAGAGGTTAGTGGAATAACTGTACATACTATCATGAAAGCTTGAGAGCTAGCTTTATTTTGTTGGAAAATAACCTCCAAAGGCTTTCATTTTCATTAAAATACTAGGATGACAATTGCAATGGCCTCATACATAAAGTTAACATCTGGTATATTTTGCAGACAGTTCAGCCAGTAGCAATTTGTGATAGGAATCAGGTGCAATTTTCCTAAACTAAATAGGGAGACAAGTAGATGATATGTGAGGTGGTGTTCTCTCATAGCTCTGCCCATCACCACCTGTGCAGGCCTGTGATCTCCTCCCTCTCTCCTCCATAAGATCTCTTGTCTTTACCTACTTACTCAATAGCCCATTTTACATCAGTTATGGGACATGGTTTCTGAATCATATATTTCTTTAATTTGAGCTTCAGAAGAAAAGTCTGTCTTGAATGTGCTTTACCAACCATATTTTCCTTTGAGGAGGCTGAGGTTGAAGTTTTCTGCATTTTTTTTTTCTAATTAATGCTTCATTACGCAAAGAGTTGAATGTTCTCCCAATCCTCCTAAGTAAATGTAATCCTTTCTTTTCTCATATGGTCTGTTACATCTGCTGGTTCTTGATTGCTCAGCATTTTTTTTGGAATGGTGCATTTGATTAAATCTAGGAAATAGCATATAATGAAGCTTGAATAAAAGCATATTTGTTAAGGTTTGAGGGAGGCAACTCAAGCAGCTTGAGCCTGGTAAGACAGAAAGGAATCAGTCATGTCACATTCCTCAAAATCAACCTTGCAAATGATCTCATCTTTTTAAAGTGCATCATATTTTTTGGATGGCAGAGTGCACTTAGTAATTGTTACCAAGTTTTTCTGGGACTAAAAAATGTTTTTGCGTGGTCTTGATTGAAAACCCCTTAATATGTATATAAGTGCAGTTTTGTCTTAACAGAAATTGCCTTCAATTTCTTGCAGGTTACCCAAGCCTACTGCTCTCTCAAGAATAATGCCAGAAAGCAATGGTCGGATGAAAAAGCCAGAAAGGCAAATTTCAAGTGAGTTGCATAATTTTTCATGTATACTCTGCTCTGTTTCAGTTAGTTCCTCCTTTATGTATGCCTTAACCCTATGACTAATTTTTTTGAGGGGGCAGCCTCAACTTGAGTTTTCCTTTTACATGTGTGGGCATAAGATTCTGCCATCTGTTTGTTCATCTACCTTGCTCTCAATTGTTACCTTTTGTTCTACTATATGGGATTACACTTGATTCAATTCCAGTATCATGTTACAATCCTCAAAGGGTCAATATTGACATGTATTAGATACATTTTGAAGTGATCTTTATTTGGATGTGAAGGATATTCTTCAGATGATCATGTTCTTCAGGACTTAGAAAAGATACATTTGTGTCGACTGGATGTGATCTTTACTTATGTATTTTAAAATTGTTCTCACTGTCTTTTCATTTTGGCACATTCACGATTCAGTTAAAAAATTTTTGAGACTTTTCCTTCTTTGTAAAACTTCTTGTCATGAATAAGAGAAGGTATTGAAGTGGAAAAGTTGCTTATGTAAACTCCAGCCTTGACTTCTTCATATGAAACAAGATGACATGATTAATTCCCCTCAAAAGCTATGATGAACATGCATAATAAGCAAAAATGAGCCCACCCAAAGCACAAGGGCCTTGGTTCTAAGGTCAAATCTGACCAAATATTAAGTGGTGAAAAAAAGGCAACCTGTTTGACACCTTATGAAACAGTCAGTGATTCCAGGTTCATAATTTTTTATTATATCTAATTGAAATTTCTCTCCTTTCATGCCCTAAAAGCTGTTTTTATGTTGTGTCTCCTCATAGTATTCATGATTGTGTAGTATCTTTAGGCCTCAGGTGAGAAGGTAAGGTATGAATTTGATTATTTATTTAGAGTATAAGGATTGGAGAGGAAACTGAAAATAGTGAGAGTTTCCTATCAAATCACAGACTCTCTTGTGGAATATCTTTCCTCTCCAGCCCTTCGTTTTGAAACACTCCTTTAATGCAGAGACTTTTCCCTTGAAAGATATAACATAATGACACCATACAGTCAAGAAAATCACAATAAGAATGCAACCATGAAAATCAGACATTTTGGTGACAAATGGAACACTGCTGAAGTTTCTGCCTCTCTTCCATGGAAAAGCAGAATTTTCTTAGTAAAGTTTCAGCATCCATGGCTCTTTACTCAAACAACCTAGAGACTTCAGAACATTCATGAAACAAGTTTTAGAGAGTCTTCTGCGTGATACAAAAAATAGACAAGTCTCTACAGTAGGTTTTATAAAGCCTTAACAGGATGCCTATTTTTTGTGCTACCTGGTATATCATCAGAAAGAGAATCCTTTGCTAAACTCAAAAATGCAATTCTTATTAATAAGATCAGTGTGAAAAAGTTAATTTTTAGGATTGGTTAGGTTAGGTGCCAAAGTCTGAACACCCCTATGTTTTGAGCAAGTTACTTCTTACTATTCCTCTGCTGTTGTGTATGGGACATACACATTTCCTTCCACACAAACATTTCCTTAAAGAGTGTCTTCTTTACTCTTAATTTTTTTTTTTTAATATCAATTATCAAGTGAATCACTTAGAACACATATTCAGACTTGCACATATAACCTAATTAACTAATTTTTAAAACTGCTCTTATGTGAATAAGAGTTGCATCTTTGAGTACAGCAATGGGACACTTTCAAGTGATATTTGGGGCAAGAATAGGGCACTGTTTTTCCTTGACATGCCTTTTTTTCCCTGTGATTTTGATTTTAATTGCCATATTCTTCCTATTAATGAGACACTCAATTGTATGGGAGGCTTCAGCAGGAATTTTAGGCTTTGGGTTGATGAAATGTTCTTGTGCAAAACCACTGTGCAAACATATGCAAGCAATTTCTGCATTCTCTACTTTCAACATCTTCGAAGAGAGGTTCATTATCTCATTTCTGCATGGAGACTTTTGCACCCCTTTTCCATGTGACAAATACTGATAGCAATTCAAAATTTCCTGATTACTTATTTTCTCATTTATTTTGATTAAGGAAATGTGAACAATACATTAAAAAACTTATTCCCTGAAAGAATACAAGAGAAAGTCAGCAGGGGGCCTTTAATGCCACTGGTAGGCAAAGGGTTAAGGCTATCCAAGAACTCTTGATGATTTTCAAAGAATTTTTGGCTGCATCCCACCTGATTTTGTATTATCTCCATTCCTTTCATGCCCATCTGAAAAGAGTCCTCTCCCAAGTATGAAGTTTTCTTGGGAGGTTCCTGCAATCCAACTACATGGAGACAAGACACAGCTATCCCAGTTCTCAAGCAACTGGGTATCACATATTACAATCCAGTGAGTTTCCTAACCTTCAGTTTATGGATCTTAACCTCCCTTCTCCTTCATCATGAAAGTGTCAGTCTCCAAATACCATCACTTGGTATTCAACAGGAGGGATTTACCTCTGATGTCATTCATTTGCATTTGAACTTGCTGTCTGAATGGTTCTTGACATGAAAGGACATCCATTATTCTCCAGATGTCATATTAATTCAACTGAGAAGCTATATATCACTGGCAAATAAGAGTGGGGTTAATTATGAATCATGTATTCCCTTGCCAAGGAAATCTGTCCATCTGCCTGCCATGCTTTGCATGCTTAGTGGTTTATACTTGAACACCTTACAAGCCTCAAGTAATTTATGTGAAGAATATGGATAAGAACTCCGCTTTATTCACAAGGGAGTATTCAAGTTTCCTTCTGCACATTTGAGTATTATGAGTTGCAAGTATCTATATCAAGACTCTTTGATTTTAACACAGTATGAATGCTGATGCCCAGTACCAACACAGTATACATTCATGGACACTGTATTATGCTTTGCCAGGTACATAATGTCACGTATCTGTGTCCATAATATATGAGTGTCCATGCTGTTGCTTGGCCTCAGAATTTTCATGTTACTTGTTATGCCAGCAATTACCACACTGGAAACCTGAATACATTGAATTGGAGCACCAGGCCAAGGAAAATGCCTCAGTCCTCTTCTTTGTCATTGACAACCAAACAAGAGGTGTGGCCTCAATGGTTGAGGTGGCATACCTAGCTGCTCTTGGAAGGAAGCTTGTTGTTGTCATATCCCCATATGCTGGACCAGGTCAGGAAATTGCTGGAGAGCCCATTACAAAGAGGTAGGCAGTTTCAGATAATTTCTTGCAGCTGCTATCATAATTACTGACCAACAGATTCATAAATGTTAGCTTCAATTTTGATTAACAGGGAGTTTGAAGATTTAAGCCATGGGCAGGCCATACTGCATGATCTGGTGGAACGTCAAGGGATTCCCATTTTTACCAACATACGAGTTGCATTGGATTCCACGGCCACCCTAATTAAAGAGAATTTGAATCTTCAAGATCTTGGTCCCAGAAACATGGTCAGTCCTGTCAAGATGGGTCATGTCCCTGTGGGAGACAAAATTATGTGAGTTTTCCCCTCTTGCACATCAGACTTAATGTCTGAGATTTTTTATTCCTGCCAAGAGATTGTATTCAAGAAGCTACCAAGTTCAATTCAGATGAATATGATATTTGAAAAACCTTCAATCTATTTATCAACTTTGCAGGAAATACAGGGAAGCATTTGATGCTTTGGACACAAGTGGGAAGGGTGAATTAACTCTTGATGATGTGAGTGCCTTAATTTCGTATTGAGTCCATTTTCAAAGCACACTCATAAAATAAATGTATGGCTTTATTGCAGATGTGTATGGCATTTCGAATCTTGACAAATCGCAACTTGACAAGTGAGGAGATCCAGGAGATAGTGTATGGTCACAAGGGCATTGGATCTATGGAGGAGAAGCAAAATGTTGATCCTCATAGCCCAGCCATCCATGACTCAATTCTAATTGGTTTTGATGAGTTTTGCACAATAGTCTCTGAGTTCAAGCAGAAACAAACTGAGCACCAGAAGGTGTGGGACCAATTCCTTGCCAAGACTGCTTCAGCTCTTGGAACACTGGCTATGCCACTAGTCAAGGCTTTTGGTGAGTCAATACTAATTGGTGATAATGCTTTTTGTAACAGCATCTGTCAGAATTGGATTGGAAAGTATTCATGGATATCTCAAAATAACATTACTGCCATCTGATTAAGACACATCCACTTGACAGCTTCTTTACTTACAATTTTTCCACATTTTCCAGAGTGGGTCATGCCAAAGAAAGCCTGGAAGCAGGCAAATGGACGCCGGAGAATCACTCGGGATGTTTATTTGGGTGGTTCGTGCAGTGATGCATCATTGGCATGGAGGGAAGAAATCGCCATTCCCATGCTCAAGTGAGTGGCCCTCTGGGCAACAGAGCATACCCCACGTCAGTGTAGTATTTGTGCATACTGGCTGATACTCTTGCTATTTCTTTTCACAGGAAAAAGGGCCTGACCTATTTTAATCCCCAAACATCACGTTGGCAGGATAGATTGATACCAATAGAATCTGCAGCTATAGACTCATCCCGCGTCCTTCTATTTGTCATTTCAGACAAAACACGAGGATTGGCCTCTATGGCTACTGTAAGTCTTTGTGTGCTCAATGATCCTTGTAGTTTTTGCATGAGGGCTGTCTCTGTCCATAAAAGGTCTGACTTGTTCATGTCTCTTCCTTGACAGGCAGCCCACTACATTGGACTGGGATGCCATGTTGTTCTTTGTATTCAGTTGCTTCAAGAGTTGTGCAAGATTGGCGATGATCAGGTTGGTTTATTTTCCAAAATACAAGACCTTATTAGGTACATTTACATGGTGATGATGCTTTGAAAAGGAGCTTTGATGTGAGCCTCCTTTTAAAAGGATGATACCTTTTTCTACATCCTCCATAGCTTTCAGCACAGGCAATCAAGGATTACAACAGAGGCCGGATGTACCTGAGTGACATGGCAACACGAGATGGCATACCTGTATTTGAATCTATCTCCGAGGCTGTGGAATGTGTTGTGAGGAAGTGTAATGGCAGGTGAATGCTCATGACATGGTGCTATGGCTAAATGTGGTGCTATCATGTTGATGCTATCATTTTTATGCTGTAGCTGAGAAATCTTCACCTATTTTTTCTCAGGGATTTCATTCTGTTCCACATCAGCCTTTCTTGGTACACAAACATAAAACAAGTGAAGTTGTAACTTTACTATCTTGTTTGGATTCTGCTCAGGCTATCCCTTTTGCACAGTATAATTTTTTCTTCAAATGAATCTCATCCTCTTAATCTCTGAATAACAAGAACCAGTGACAGGGAAATCTTTAGGTCTGTTTCTTTTCTGAATCTCTGTATGGATCTCACCTTCACTTCTATGCTTACTTCAGAAATGTCTTGCCAGAGTGGTTGAATTCTCTCTCTGCTTTGGCCCATGTGCAATGAATATTTCTGTGAGGGGGTGGAAGAATTATGTCACTAGGAATGACTTTCACTTACTTTCATTGCTCATTTGTCACCAGAAAAGAGTGCTTTATCAGTATGATGCAAAGGCTCATTGAATCTGATCTTATGAAACAGTGATTCTCAACCTGGGTAATGACCCAGTTTTGGGTTGTGTGGCTATGAAAACTATCTAGCACCTTACGCTCTCACTATTTCAAGTTGCTGCATTTCTCCCACCCTTCTTGCTCAATCTGCTCATCTTCAAGCATTAAGGCAGTAGCCCTACATGCAATAGGAGAACATATTTCTGTAAGTATACTGAAAATATCTTAACCCACAAGCCCAGTGATGACAGGATACTTTCCCCCTCAGCAAGTTGCTCCTTCACCAAGCTACCAGGTCCTGGAAAGGTCACCTTTCATATTACTTAATCTTAACCAGAAAAGGGTTGAGGACCACTGTAAATGTGTGTATGTAAACTCATACAGCTTTACCTGTGTCACAGCCATCACAGTATAGTTTCTGGTCAGCAAAAGCTGCTACTTAACTCTTAACCAATGCACTGTAGATGCCATGAGTGGACCAAGAGGGAAGCAGTTTTGTAGAACTTACCTTTGCAGTCCATGAGTATATCCAGCTCAGCCCATCCTGTGTTCCTCTGTATCAATGTTCCATGGAAACAATTGTGCTTTAATGAATTTGTTCAGACATGGTTCTTCTACCTGTGACTCCATGTTGTTGAGTTTCTGTATTAAAAAAAGATCACTCACAGTTTTACACTCCTTCATTGCACACCATCATCATTATCATTGCCATCACAGTATCGTATATTAAGCAGTAGGGACTTTTTTGTCTCCCATAGCAATGTCCTTTGCTGCTTCTTCTTGGAGTGGGAGCCATGTAGCATATTTTAAGGGGGGTTGCCTCAAAGCGATACCAACTGCTTAAAGATCTCAATGGCTTCTTCATTTGCTTGAGGAGCTTTTTGTGAATACCATCATTCTTGGAGTGAAATTGAGTCATTGTATGCCATTGTGGATGGGGAAAGTATACACGATATTCATTCAAAATCTCAAGTATAAGTTAGGCATAAGTTAGGAGGCACTCATCAAATTCTGGGAATGAGGTTTATTGGACCATTCCAGATAAAACCATCTAAAGGATGAGCTCAAATATCTCAGATTTTGACTATTGCCATAGATGTAGATGGGTTGATTTAAGAAAAGACATGAACCTTTTGTATTCTTTACATCTTGCACCATTTTCTAGGCATCAGGAGCTATCAGACAAGAGGAGATAACAGGTGACATTTTAATGTCACCTGCTATCTCCCCCTGTCCATCTGGACTGGAACTGTCAAGTCTTCTGACAATAACTTCTTTCCTAGCTTCATTTTCTGGTGTATTTTATATTGCTAAATTGCCCTATTTCCAACGATGCTACTTTAAGTCAGTAACCAATATCCATATATGTCCTTTAAGAATCTAAAGTTCTGATGGCTCATACAAAAGCATGTTTTACCAGAATCTAGTGCAAAGATTCCACTGGGATGACTCTCAAGTATAATTTCGATGATAATACTGAGGTAACAGTGCCGAAAAGAATTCTAGATTTATAGACAAATCCTTCCTCCATGCAAGTTTTCACCTCTTCACAGTTCACAGCTTAGCAAAAGGATTAAATAAAGTGCTTTAGCTTTTCTGTCATCTCTGATAGAGTGAAATACCAAGCATCCATGGTTGATTTCTCATGTGCTAAAAAAATTGGTCAAAATGCATCAGTCATAATGCATTCTACTTTTCAGACACTGCTACCAATAGGCATTTCTTTCCTATTTTGTTCCATACGAAATTTCAACCTGTTCCAAATTCAAAGAGCTCTTTTCAGGTAAGAACCAGCATTACTAGAACTCTGTTACAACCTTGTTGAAAACTTCAGGCTTTATATGAAGTAATTCTCTTCTCCACCTTGAGAAATGGAAGAAACTTCTGCAAAAAATGGAGGAAAGGTGAAGGGTCTAGCCACCCAAGCAAGTATCCAATGAATAACCAAATTAAAAGCAATTCAGTAATCAATTGAAACCCTCAATGGCTGGAAAAAGAAAAAGCAGGAGCTGATATTACAATTCCACGATTACTTATCATTCAAGGAGCATGCAATTGTCATGTCTCCAACTGAATCAACAGCACATTGCTGACCACAAAGAGGGACTCAAAGTGACTCTTTCAAAATGGGAAGATTGAAGACATAGCAAACACTTCCTTGTCTACACTGGTCTAGTTATTACAATCCACTTGTGGCCAAACCGAGTGGAATGATCTTAATGAATTTTGGTACACAAGCTTCTACTAATATACTGGGGGAAAAGGAAATTGGCTCCTTCATGGGTGCCACCCTCTTTCCTCATTCCTTGAGCATTTGGAAAGTTTTCTCTGCTTTGTCTCATCTCATGACATTGAAACTTTGCTAATTTCTCTGGACCATTTTGGGCAATGAGTATGAACCCATAGCTGCTATTGAAATTAGCAAGTTTCCCATGTAAATATTCATCAAAATGAAACTCTAATGGATTTTATGGTACATTAGTATGAGCTTGTGTACCAAATTCCAAGATTGCTTCACTCCTTCATGGTCATGCTTTTTTTTCACCAATGAGTATGTATGGCTCAAGAGAATGCCTCATTCTGCTAGTAGCCCAATCAAGGTATGATCTTCCCAAGTTATAAAAAATTAGGGACATATGCCCTTTGAGACTGGAAGCATTTTTATTGACAGAGCATTATGAGTCTTTTCAGGCAGCTGTGTAGTGCATGATAGCACAAGATGTGAAGAATAGGGTGTTGTAACAATTTAGGAATGTAGATGCTGTTCCATGAACAAATCAGGTGTTGTGATGGCACAACTGTTGAATAGCATGTTTATGACTGCAAAACACAGCCCTGGTGATCATAGCAACTATTCCATCTGGATCCCATAGGAATTAGAATTGTTTTGGGCATAGCAGCACATTCAACATAGCATTTCTTGAACCTCTGAGCCAATACAGCATTTCACTTTTGGATCTGAGTTTTGGTTGGCTTAATTGTAGTGGCTTTTATTTTCACTGGGAGATAGTGGTGGTATCATTACAACACCTGGCTGGTTTATGAATTTCAGCTTCTGCATAGTCAAATTGGCATCCGGAGCTATTCTGTGAATGTGCATGTGTGATGCACCTCTCATTTTGTGTCTTAAAATTAACCCAGTGCAATGAGGGGTAGGTAAAAGCAGACAAGAAAAAATATGGAAGTAGAAATCCAAACTGTTTAATTCTTATTAAATTCTGTCTGGAGTCAGATTGCACAAAGAGGAACAGAAAGGTCAAGAAGAGAGAAAGGGAGCAGAGGAACTGATAAAATCAGGGATTCATTCTAAAAACAGCCTGACAATGAACTTCATCGGAACCTCCAAACTGCACAGTAAGCAGTCCAGCCATCACAACCCAATTGTATTATCACAACTGGAAGCTAAATTCAACTACATACAAAGAACTACAGCAGAAACATATTCTATACTATCATCCTATAATACTCTAACACTTTTCCCATCAAGCAAGTGAAGCCAGGTGTCTAAGCAATATGTTCCTCAATGAACATCATGCAAACCAGTGACTTGCCATACAATCCCTTGTCCACTCATTTTGACACACCCAACACCAATGATATCCACATTGAGGCCATGTGCATGTCATGTGCATACATCCACCATCCCTCTCAGTTGGAGTCCGGCACTTGGGGCAAGGTTTAGTGAGAACCCTAATTGATATAGCACTTGCTTCATCCCAACGTGCTGCTGCAGCCCGCTCTGGATCCACTCTATATGCTTGCCTATCATCAGTATTACTTGAACACTCTGAACCATCAGTGCGTTCACATTCCCCAATGTGATACCCTTGCCTACAATCTCGACAGAAGACAAATCCACACCCATGTTCACAAGTGATTCGCCGGCAATCAGGATGGGGCATAAGCCCCATTCCACAGTTAGGTTGTGGGCAGAAAGTCCCTCCACTTGCAATCACAAACTCCTCAGCTCCAAAGCGCTGATACCTAGCATATAACTCTGCACTCAACAACTTGAAATGATGTGTATCCCTAATCAAAGAGTTATCACACTTAGCAGGACAGGGGACACTGTAGCCATGAACAGGATCATAGGTGAACTGGCGCTCCTGCAAAAGTGACTGACAGTATGTGCGGAAGCAGTCAAGGCAGGTGACATGAGCACTAGAGCATGGAAATACCAGGACAAGATCTTGGACATCGAAGCAAGCCATGCAAGGAACATCTCTTGTGTTACTCTTAACAAGATTGAGAGGAAGGGCATCCAAACTGTCAACAGATGGAACATGCTCAGCACACTTGAAAAAGAATTCCACTGAGTCCCCCCCACAACCCTCTACCTCACATGTACCAGGAATTTGCAATGGAGTCAGAACATCTTCCCAAGAGCATGGATCTCGGGAGACTATGATGGCACCCTCTTTGCAGTGTGCACACCGCACCCTTAACTTCCCAACACACATTTTCTTGCAGCTAGAGCAGTAGACATAAAAATGTGGTATTTGCCTTCCCTGTTCCCCCTGCTGATTGCTATCCATGACTGGCAATGAATGTGCCAGAGCTGTAGGTAGAGGTATTCCAGTGGCCTGGTTACCTGATGATACTCTCACCACCTTCACAGCATGCAGAATACTCTGCTGACCCAGATCACAGTCAGAAAGCTTGAAAGAGTCATCAAGCTCCTTGCCAGCAAAAATAATCTTGACTTCTGAAGCAGGAAAACCAAGTTTTGGAGCAATTTTCTCCTTGACTTCATTGACACTCCAATTTGGATCCAACACAGCTTGAATGTTCACACCAGTGTTGGTTCTCACATTCACATGGAGCCCAACTGGCACTTTGTTTCTGAAGAAACCAAAGGCTTGCATGGCTTTAATCAATATATCACCCACAGAGAAAAACAAATTTAATACAAAACTCATCGCTGAGAGCAACACAAAAACAACATTTTCAATTTTGTTGTCAATCTCAAAGGACATGGAGACATCTTAGATGTCAAGACAACTTTGCCCAAATTATTCCTTCAACCCAGTCAAGGAATGAAGCTAGCTTTTGCTCTGCTGACTTTCCTTTCTTGTGGCATCTTGCAAAAGCTGGGTGTCAACTTCATCGGCTGGAAGTTGGACGTATCGAACAACTGAGCCACGAATGAAGCAATTCTTCACAGACAGCTAAAAGTGAAGAAAAGGGGTCATAATTAGCCCAGTTACAGCTTTAAAAAGAATCTTCCATTAACCCACTAACATACCATATGTGGATACTTTTCAGGATCAGTGACACTGATGTCTGTTAGCTTGATGTTCAAATACTGGTCAACCGAATGCAAGGTTCCACAGATGCTGCAATAAAAGTGAGAAAGGACATAAACAACAGAGCTTCAGAATGGGAATAAATGCCACTTTGCCACTGAATGAAATGGAATTCAAAATGTTATTAGCTGGTGGTGGAACAACAAAAACCAAAATGGAACAGAACTGCACTTCCCATCCATCCTTCCTTCCTTACCAGAGATCATTCTTCAGTTCAACCACGACATCCTTCTGCACCAAAGACTTGAAAAACGAGTAGAATAGCTGAAAAATAGCCAAGAATGAGTACAACAATACCAAAGACATACTGTAGTGTAAGTCTGGTTATTTGGCTAAGTGAACTCAACAGCTATTCATGCAGACAATATTCGTACTTAGGGTCAAATGTTACATAAAGTCCTATAGTCATATCAGAATGATTTTATCATCAAGAGCATAAGTTACAATCTATTTTATTGCAGGCAGGATTACAGAATGACAGCTAGACATCACAGTCCTTTACCTGTGCAATGCAATGTTATAGAAGAGGCTCTAGATTTTAGTTAAAATAGAGATGGGATAATTATAACCAATTAGACAGCAATCAACTTTCTTAATTGCTTATTCTTTTCTGATAGGTGACTTTTCAATTGTCTCTTACTTTATTCAGAAGGAAGAAGGTACCCATATTACCTTCATTGCTTGCCTAGCATTATAACCCTCCTGTAAGACAGCTACAGCAATTTATTTTGCATCCAAGAAAAAAGAGTGAACAGCCAAAGGGAGTGACTTTCCAGACAACCTGTATAAAGAATTATGTACTTCAATCAAGTATCCCTACAATAGCCTCACATTGATCAAATAACTTAATTATATACGCTCTCATCAAATAGCTTAATATATATCAATACATACAAAAACTGCAAATACAGGGTGATTCATAAGTCAGGTTACATAGGGGATGTCTTTATTCTGGGTGCTTCTGGTTAAACTCCTCAGCTATATGTCTGTAACTGCCATTAGCCACCAACAACACCACCTCAATACGTTCTTCAATAGACAAAGACATCACTGTGAGAATTCACACACCTGCAACAATAATGATTACCCCTATGTAACCTGACTTATGAATCACCCTGTATATATGACACAGACAAGTGCATATAAAACTACCATATATGATCATTCTATAGAAGATAACTTGCAGCAAACTATCACATGAAAAATGGTCAATAAAACATATTTCAAGAGATTACTGTTTCTCACCATACTGCAGTGTTTTCACAATGACACATGGATTGTCGAATGTCCAAACTTAAGTCTTTCAGGCCTCTTGAGGTAGCGGAAACAGTGTTGGGGCCGTTCTCCTTTGTCTTGTGACCAGGTCAAAATTATCTGTTGACATGAAATAGTTTCATCACCCCTGTTCTACACCTATGGGCCAATTATCCCAAGTGTTCCAATAGTGGTGATGTTGCTCATTACCACCAGGGTTATTTATTAGCTTTTAGTAAGGTCTGATCCTAATGATCTAACTAACTAATCATTCTATAGATTAAATGAAAGCCTGAAATTAGTGTAAGTCAACCTAAGATTACATAAAAATAGAAAGCTTAAAAAGGAAGCAGGACCTTTATGGTGACTGTGTTGAATGTGAAATTAGGCTAAGGCCTAATTGAAAGTCTAGCTTTAAGCTAAGGCCAATTTTAGGGTTAAGCCAGAAAACTCGGCTCACCTGAAACAATTGCATTTTGTCTATCCTGTTAGAATAGGCCTAGCAACCTTACTTCAAAGCAGAAAGGAAAATTTTCAGTCAGAATGTGGAGTAATTGTTGGATATCTACCCTGCTAACGTTAAAAATAGGAGTACAAGTTCAAATCACTCCCTTAGGCAAAATCCAACTCATTTACAGATATTTCTCAATGTCAAGGATCGGCGAATACTAATAAATTCTTTTTTTCTAATTCATAGATATCATCCATCCACCTATCAATTCACACGACTTTCGGGCCAACAACTCTTAGAAATCATAAATAGGTAAGGCAAAGGTGACTATTAACGCGGCGCTTCTCCAAGTTGTCTCAGTAAAATTATCTGCAATGGCTGCAACGAAGGGACGAGTGCCGTACGCGCGCACCCTAACCCCAGGTCCACCTTACTGGGTACGATTCGACGAGTAGCAAGGATGACGCCACAGTGGTAGCAAAAGGGATGCCAAGTCTGACCTGAACCCACCTCGAGGTCTTTTATTTCTTTGCGATTTGAATGGCTCTCCTTTTTTCTGCCTATTTTTTAATTCAGACTAATTTTTCAATATATTCCTCAATCCTATTCTATATTTTCTTGGGAATTTTTTTTTGTTGCCTTGAAAGCAATTTTAAAATGGAAATCCAATTTGGATGTCATGTGGTCATTTAGAGGACACACATTTTTTTAAATTCATGTAGGTCATTACGATAGAAATACTGACCCTCTCTCATTCTGACAAAAAAAAAATCTCAGACGAATCTCCCGAATCTCCTTCCTAGATCTCCGACACATGGAACTTGACCGTGAATATGTCCTCATCTGCTCCATTTAGCTGCGAAGTGCTAAAAATCACCAACGAATAATGAGACTGTCGTGCGTAACAACGCTGCTTCCTTCGGCGCACTAGTGCAAAATAAAATAGACTGGTCAGTGGGCTGATATGCGCCTTAATTTTCGTATGTTTCAGACATAAAGGAAGGCTATTTGAGAAACTTGGATTAGCATTTTTTCCCCCTTGGTCTGAATTATTCCCGAACAATATTTCCATGAATCCCATTGGTATGTAAATTAGAATGTGCAGTGTCTTGAATCGTATATGTAGCAAAAATATGAACTCCCCTTACTTGCAGGGGCAATCGATTGCCCTGGGTTCACATTTGGATGGATGCGCAATAATATATAACTAGTTAAAATTCTAATTAATCTTGGTTTAAAAAAAACTTACTTGAGGTAAATTATGCGAAATCGAATAATGCATCCTAGAATTGAAATTGAAGATTCTACAGCATAATATTTGGTTGCAACCATAGAGATCGTATGTAACCGCCCAGTGCCCAACCCAACCGCCCAACGTTGCTGCCATGCTCTCTCATTCATGGTGACTCCGGTCGGGGCCACGTGGTTGCCCACGCGTTTTGAATAGAATTACGCTGGCAGCAGTTTGGATATATGTATATATTTTTTATGAATATCGGCTGGACGATGTTGAGCAGAGCTGGAGCGCTCATTCAGGTTCTCGATTGAGCTTTCCGGCTCCGGCTATGAACGCGACTGCGTTGAATGGGCCCACGATGTGCCTACAGTGATATCATGTCCTCTAGTTGACGTCCAGTTTCAGTTAACCTCCGTAAAACGTGAACCCTCTAAACTGAAGGTGTACTATGGTTTCATGCGTTTATTGAGCCCCCTCTAACTGGAGATAAACTGAAAATACAGGTAATATGCATTAGTGCTAAAGATTTCTGGAGGAATTGAAACAGGCATCGTGCGATTTTAATTTCCAGTTGATGGCATGTTCATTTCAGTTTTTTCCTCTCATTATTTACTAATGGGAGGTCAAAGGACACTTTCTTTGCTTATTTTCTACTTAGTTTCAGTTTAGCGGACAGAAACTAAACTAATAAGGTTAATTCTTGTTGCAAGGTTTTTTTTGCTCTTTATCCCCAGTCCCAGTTGACTGGAGATAAATTGCAACTGGGGATGAACTGAAACTGTAACTAAAATGGGTAACATGAATCACTGCTTGACTAAGTTTCTAATAATACTTAGATCTCAACTCTTGTTTTATATCACCTAGGCCTACGATGAGTTTCATTTGGGACCTATAAGAATGCTGAAGGTCCTGAGTTTGCTGGGGATGCAGCCACTGCCAGTATCTATATTTTACTGCTTTCATAGTTATTGGTAGACTTTAATTTTTTATTCTTAATCATTATTCACATATTCTCTTCTAGATGGGTAATTGGTGAGGCAAGTGGAACTGTGACAAGATTGAAATCCCATGACTAACTAAGTCTGTGCCTCAAACCTGACAAAACCACAGAAGGAGCATCCCATCTATGAAATAACCAAAGATGAGCTCAGGGACATCAGCCTCATTACCTGCTGGATCTGTGCAGGCAGAGGTCTGGAAGGAACATACACTGTTTTCAGATTGAATTTGTACCCCTATCCTATGGTGGAGGATGGAGGTTCTTTTGTGGAACTTGAGACATGAAAAACATGTGCAATTGCACACTGATTTGATTAAAGTGTTTTGATTTTGGAATGCTACAAAGATAAAACATGCCTAATATTTATAAGTAGTAAAATGCATGCCTAATGGCTAAGTTTTCTGACTATGACCAAACAATTTTTGTCAGTTTGGTGTTAGTTTGGACATTTTGCCCTTGGGGATGCAACCACTGAATTGCCTATCAGCAGCAGGTGCAAGTGCAACACTCTTGAGAATGTTCTGCCTCAATAGCAGAGTACTCAGGCTGGTGAATTATGATTAAAATTTTGTACTTCTCTCGCTTGCTCTATCCCATAATCTTTTTGTCTTCATATGCCTTCTATGCCTCTCCACTTTCAGAGGTTACTAGCTTTTCTATCTCAATTATTAGATGGGCACCAGTGGTGGTACAGTTTGCATTACTTTGCTCCCAAGCTAAGTTAACTTTATCTGTGATTTGATCTTTTCGTGTAGGATAGGAGGAAATTACAAGCTCCAAATACTTCCGACTATGTAACCAGACTTAACTGTACTGGCAAATGGAGGTGCTACCACATGACATGGTCTCTGATGTATTTGGTGATCCTAAATTTGTTTTCTCACCTTTTGAAAGATGCCATTGAACTGCTTTCTTGTGGACATTTTACTATAAGATGGAGTATGAATGTGAAATCTAGGCAATTCAAAAATGGACTTAGTTTTCTGCTAGTGCACTGTTTTCCTTGCCTGGTTTACCCTTTTCACCCAGTCAATGAAACTCGGAAACTTAGGAGTCTGTCATAAAATATGATTATATAATCATACAAATTAAAAGGCATTCAAAATGAAATACCTATCTGTGGACTTCTTAAGTGATGAGGTTTGATGGAATATGACAGGACTGCTGGGAGGATTAAAAAAAAAAAACAGACAAATGATAAATAGCCATGTCAAACAGCTAGCAACATGTGTAAGCTTTAAAAAGGCTCATTTGTGTTAATGATTAAATGAACTTTGGATTAGCCTGTTCAGATCCATATTCCCAAAAAATTAACACCCTTGATTCCTCCTTTGCATGCTTCTCTATCATATGGACTATGGTCA